GGGGGCGGGGCGGGGAGGGGTTAGAGAACGACGAGATACGGGGAGGGAGAGGTAAGAGAAAAAGGGAGAAGAGGAAAAAACAAGTTGGAATTATTCGTACTGTTGCAGGTTCTCTTTCTCACGACATCGACGGAACCGTACTTGGCTGATAAGTCGTTCGTCAAGCTCCACGACAAGTTCATAATCATACCGGTCGCCGACTATAGCACGACGTTTCTCACTTACAAAAAGTCGCTTTTGAGCCAACACGCCATCCCGAGAAACTTTCAGGTGTCCTCGCTCGCGAAGGCCATCGCCAAGGAGACGCCTCTGGAGTTTGCCCAGAGCGCCCTGGACAACTGCCTCAAAATTCAAAGGCGGATGGACTTTAAGAGAAGGCCCCTCAAGCCCATGGAAATCTTCGAGACGCTGCAGAATAATGTTGAGAGGCCAACGAAGGAGACGCTCCGACTCTTCGAGAATTTTCGCGCGAATCTGCCCCTCGAGAAGAAGAGACGTGAATTTATGCAGATTATCGAGGAAACAGCAGCGAACAGCAACAAATGAAGATAACGCGCTCTCGGTCTTACCTATATCGTATAACGATTCGGCTCGCTAATTCTCCCGGCTATCTACTCTATAATCTTCTCCTCGGCTTGAGCAAAACTTTCGTTGCATAGATACGGGACTAAGGCCGTACACTGGACCAATAAAAATACCATTTTTTCTTCAATTAGCGGTTAATAGAACGACGTTAGACGACCTAATCTAATTAGTAACGACGACGATGACTTTGTGCGAACGGATTCACAATTGTAACTGATTATCTGGCGAACGTAACGAGCCTTTGGTCTATTTATCTGTGATTTCATAAGGCTTATCGGACTGGCTGTGTGGATTCACAAACAAAACCCATAACTACGACACTAATGATCTATCGACACACCTCCGCTAGTCAAACAACATTAACACGAATGGAAATGCAATTGGAATGAAAAATATTAAAAATAAAAAGAAACAAACAAAATAACCATTAAAAATTAAGTTGGTTACAGAGAGAGAGAGAGAGAGAGAGAGAGAGAGAGAGAGAGAGAGAGAGAGAATGTGAAAATGTCTTAGAAGTTTAAATAAACATGTAAAATTTTTGTTAAAACAAAAACATAAATAAACAACAATTGTACATATCGGGCACGAGTGGACGAAAAAAATAATATTAATAAAAAAATTGTTTGCAAGTAATCGAGCTGAACGATGATGATAATGATGATAATTACGATTGTAATGACGATGATGATGATGATGATGATGATGATGATGATGATGATGATGATGATTGAAAATGCAAACGTATAAAATCATCGATTGTAAACAAAAGAAAAAGAAAGGATTCGTTCGCGATCGCTTATAAAGCCGGACAGCATACCTCCCTCGGTACAAAGAAATTTATTTTGGCAAGCAATTTCAACAGCCGCGGCGATAAAACCGGTTATTTAACAAATATTGCAGAGGGATCCTTGGGACGTTTTAATTATAAAAGTAGCGCTGTCCATGCACCGCATGGAATAATTGCTGGTCGCCCAGATGAGAATGAGAAAAAGTCCCGAGGCGGAGGATGCTTGAGCGAGAGAGCCGAGGTGCGAGGGCTGCGAGGTCCCCCTGCATCCGTGTGTAGGAGGAGGCGAACAAGGAGCGATCATCCTCGACTTTAATTTTTCAAAAGCGGCTGCGATCCGCGCCGTCACATAACTTCATGCAAATGCTCCCTCCTCGTTTACGAGCGAGACCGAGCGAACGAGTGCCGAGCTGGAACTTTATGAATGCAAGCGAGCCGTTCTGGCCGCTACGTTTCATTCAAGTCCCTCCTGCCCACGTGCTTCCACTCTTCTCACCTTTCCCTCGGTGCGACAGAGCGCGTGACCGTTCGAAACTTACGCTCCTCTCTGCCCACCCCCTTTGTCGCCGAGGACTTTTTGTCCTCCTCGTGCTCACATTCTCACGCTTCTTTCGAGCTTAATGTACACATCCACATCCGTGCTCGCTTAGTTGGACGAGCCTGTGGGGGCAACTTTACATTCGATTTCCTTATCGCATGCCATGGACGGTCAATCCGACCGTCATCCAGCCGCATTCGTCGATTCGTTATCCTTATCGACCGTTCGAAGCCGATCGATACAGCGAGGCCATTAAGAATACGCGCTCGCCGAACCGGACGATTAATCGAATTGTATAGCGTTCGCTACGGATCGCGCAACTTCCAATTTTTCAACGTCCCCCGGACGTTTAACGAATCCTCGAGACATCCCACGCATACGATCGTGTACCACCCCGTTACGCCCCGATTATCGGGAGCTCGGTAAATTTTCTAGAGGGTCGCAACCCTTCACCCTCATTACTCACCTCGTGGGCGCGCGTTCGCGCGGCGATGATCCCGCGTAACTTATCCTGAGCCGTTTCCTCCGGTGCTGGGGCGCGTCCTCCGGGCCACCCGGGGGCGCATATCAGCCGCGGGGGGTGGACGACTTCCTCTGAGCGCGTGCACGGGTGTGTGTGTGTGTCTGTGTGTGTGTGTGTGTCTGTGTGCGCGCGCGCGCGCGCGTGTGTGTGTGTGCAGTGGCGCGCGGAGCTGCTGCAGCGGCCCGACGCGACACTCCGGGTTTGAATCGCGACGAACGAATCGGCCGGGACTCCGTGGCCGTCGCTGCCACCGCCACCGCCACCGCTATCGCCGTCGCTGCTGCCACCGCCACCGTCATCGCCGCCGCTGCTGTGGCGGTGGGGACCCAACGCGCGTGTCCCTCTTGGCCTGCACATAGCATAGCCATGTATGGAACACGAGACGACGTTCACCGGCGCGGCCCTTACGCCCACCTTTGCTTGCTGAGCAACCTAAGAGAAAGAGAGAGAGAGAGAGAGAGAGAGAGAGAGAGAAACCAGGTGAGCGGACGCAAGAAACTCGATTCTCATTTCCCTCGATCGTTGCTTCGGCGAATTGTTCGGCTACCGAATTTCATACGGCCCTGGACGAGCTGGAAAACTGGATTTTCGGGATGTTGGCGAATTTATGAGCAGGCATTGTTGCACCGAAATTATCGCTACACGTACCAGGATAATTCGATGGCAATCGATTTTTGATTCCAGCACACTTTTTCGTTTAGTGATAAAGGAAATCTTAGCGAATACTTTTTTTCTTATAGGCAATGTGCAAACAAATGTGTTTCACATATCCATCATCATAATCGTAACGTCACGGTGCGGATTCTTATCGCCTATGCATTTTGGTATATCGTATGGGATCGATTTAATCCAATTCAAATTCTATTACCTAATAGAACCGATCGAAGTGAGCTATTAAATTCAAGTAATTTATCACATATAATTGCAGATAAAAAGTCTGCCTTGCCTAATTAAAATCAATCCCACGTCTTATATCGTAAGAGAAATTGAAAAAATTATCATTATAGGCGGGATTAAGTACCTTATTTCTTCGGACTTCTATGATTATTCCAGTTTATTCATTTTTACATCTTAAGAGTATTTTAATTCATTTGATTATTTGCATTATAAAACAAGGCGTTAAAGCAAGAGAAATTCAACATTTTTTTTTTCATTTGATAAATTCAGTAAAACTAATATATACACGAATTAAATTATGTTTTAGTATCTGCAATTTATTAAAATCTTATAAATGTGGCTATGGGATTTTTTAAACCACTGTATAAGTTTTTTTAATTTGTACGGAGAAATCAACAATCAATCGACTATCTTAAAATTGTGCATTATTTATAATATAATTGCACAAAATTATAATTGCACAATTATAATTCTGAATTCTTATGCTTTTATTGTTTACTTAGTTTCTGACTTTAATTAAATGACAAAATTAATCGAATGTATTTTATTTTCAATAAAAGCCAAACGACAAAATAAAATTGAACGATATACAATGAAATCATTTTAAAAATTCAGTAAAAGAATATATATGTATATATATATATATATATGTGTGTGTGTGTGTGTGTGTGTGTGTGTGTGTGTGTAATGCGAGATACAATTTCTAACTATAAATGATCTTGTTATAATGAACTTATTCTAAAACTTGAATATTATATTACAGTTTATGAAAATGAAATTATTTAATTTAAAAGAATCATCGTTAATTTGAGAATAAATGATTGTAGAGATTTTGAACTATTGTTTAAGTATAATAACTACGATAAAAGAAAGCTAGAATAAATTAAAAAAAAAACACACACACACACAAGAGCTCTACTGACAATCTGACATTTAACATTAGTAACTCAAGTTTTGTCATACGATAATAGAATGTGAGCCCGCATTCACGTAATAAATTACCATTGAACTTCGACTGATTAAAGCGAAAGAGATAGTATCGTATCGGTTGTCCTTTTACTATATTAAAATGCAAACGAAAAAGCAACTAATACGTAGCCTCACCGTGAGTTAATCTAACCGATCGACAACTTTCATAAAGAGGAACGATCTCGCAACCCACGCGCCGGCATATCAGTAAAATCAAGGAGAAAAGTCCGTCGGGGCCCATCATCGGCATTGAAATCGACTTCAGTAACGGATCGGGCATGCTCGCAGGGGCCCCGATGAACGACTTGAAAGACGTCATACGCCCACCGCGTTAATATAATTGCCTGCGAGAAGAAAGAAAGTCCTGTGCGTTAATTTGCCTTCTTACCCCAAGATGAAGGAACATTGCGTGGGTGGTGGTTGTGACTCCTTCGACTCTTGGTCGTCAGTGACGCATATTTTCGTGCAAAGTTTAAGAAACCACAAAACAAAAGAGAAAAAACAAACTATTCACATTGGCCGCCCGAATTACGAGGAGTTCCAGGCGTATTTTAGTCCTGGCTGCTCTTGCTTTCAGCTTTATACATTCGATTGGGAAATTTATCTGGCGCCTTAACGAACGTCGAGTTGCCGGATGGACGGATTGTAGTTTACGCGCACAATTGCATAACAAAATTCTTGACAAACGCCTTATGAATAACATTGGTAAATGTACGCATTTCATATACGCAATTTCATATACATAATTGCGTTATCACATTTTTCATTCTTAAAGAGCCAAGATATTTCAACTAACGGTATTCCATTTCAATGGCTTAGGAAGTACTAAAGCTGATAAAGACTACTAACGTGTTTCCGGCTTGTAAGGAGAATTTATTCTAATTAAAAATCCCAAATAATGGCGTGGAGAAATTAAGTTTTCAATTGTACAAGCTTGAATCACATTCTGATCATGAAATAGTTACTTAATCACTCTAACTAAAAAGGCCAACTATTACAGAATATTTAACAAAGCAAATTAGGATAAAAAAAATTAAGCAATAAATAAATGATAATATTATATATGATTGCTTTTAAATTTTAAATTAAAATTACTAACTTTTCTTATTATTCATATATAGTAATTTATAAGGGCAATCATATAAAATGCATAACATTTTTAAAACTTTGACAATTCTGTATATTATTTTGAAATTTTATTTTATCACAAGGAGATACAAGTTTATTTGAAAATAATTCTTTCCTATATGCGGAATTTTTCTGTAAATTATTATTATGACTAGCAGAGTCGCGTTTATATATTTATATATGTTCGTCTTAAATTATTAAATTAACAATCGTTCCTTTGATTATATATGAACTTTTTGGAAGCAAAGAAAGAAAATTTTTCGAACAAAGCATGTCGAATCATATCTTGCCTTCATAAAATATTATAAATAATGTTATTATATATTATTTATCAAGAGCAACATTTTCTATGTTGAAGTTATTAAATACAAATCAATTCTATATAATTAGTTTGATATTCTTTATGTATCAATAGACATAAATTTATACAATATATACATAAAATATAAGTGCAATAACACAAACTACACAGAATTGATAGAAATATATAAAACTACTATTCTATATACTATTCTACTATACAAAATATTAATTAAATATATTAAATCATGCACAGGTTTTCTTATAAGCAATAAAAATCAAATTCACGAAGAAAACATTGGAATGTATACCTCACTCGCGAACTATATATGTGTGTTTGTGTGTGTGTATATATACATATTAGATAGCTTCTTTAAAAACGATCGGAAAGTGTAACAAAGCCAACAAAATTATTAACAAGAAGCAAGTCGTTGTCAAATAAAATAGCCAAGTGACTAAACATATGAAAATACAAATATATATACATATCAAAATGCATATTTTCGATTCGATCCTGATATAAACATGTACTAAAGCATAAGAAAAATAAAAAACAATAATTATACACAACAATTCTTAAAATATAAAGGTAATTACTACCTATATCATAGAAAAAAGTCAAATTTGAAATTTAATGTCAAAATTTGAAATATATCTTATTTTTTTTAAATAAATTTCAAGAAAAGCAGTAAAATTCAAAATAGAATTGGGATAATGCAGAGTAAACATTATATAATAATAACTTAATTATTTATACATTATGTGTGTTAAATGCATCGTAAGATATTCTATGTTGTTGAAAATAAAAAATTAATTACCTAATATTTGTATGATTATATTTCCATGTATCGTCAAGCTCTTTTTTTAATGGAACTACAAAAATGAAAAGAAAGAGAAGTCTAAACCTTAGATTTCATAGATAAATGCTAATGTAAGCAATGACAATCTTCCTGTATCTATGCCAAGTGTTTGACACTATTTTACGTAAATTTTCTAGCTTATCTAATTTTTTAAAAATTAGAAGTTATACTGTAAATAGTAAATGTATTTATATATTTAAACATATAATAGAGATATGTCAAATGTGTATAGATATTAATTATCTATAAAATATCAAAGTTATTTATTGACTTAAAGTAACTATGTACTTTACTTTTTAATATATTTTTATTTTGTGTTAATAAATCGTCGATAATGATTGTGTACACAATTATTTATCTTAAAAAAATTACTTATATAAATATTTTATTTATAAATTAATAGCATTCTTAAGGTAAATTCTTCGTTCAAAATTAAAATTCCATAAATATAAATGTAAAACACTCAAATCATAATTGTATTCTTTATCCTTTATTTTTTTACATTATTTCATACGCTATAATTACAAATAAATTGAATATTAGAGAATAAAATGTTGTTTTATCCAATTAAAATATATAGTTTATTTATATTTGTCATATATATAAATATTTTATTTGTTATTCATCAATCTTATATTTTAAATTACATACAAATTTATAGAATTAAATTCTAACGATTAAGGTAAATAGAAAAATAAGTGCAATATGAACTAAATGCAATGCAATTATTATTGTGTCATATAATTTTAGAACCATTTATAATCAATAACTATTTAATGGTAAAATTAATAAATAATAATTAATAATAATTTGATATTTATTTTGAAATATTTATTATAATACTCTAATTTTATATTAGAGCAATATATATTAAGACGAAAGTTGAAATACATATTTCATTTAATAGTTAATTTAATAGTTAATAGACATGATAAATAATATGGACTTAATTTATAATTCTTAGATTAGACGAACTAACTGTAGTAATATTAATATTACTTTAACAATAAGAAATGCACGTGCAACTATTAATATTCTACACCGTCTGCTGATCATGTGAACCGGCAGCAGACGACGTAGATAACATAACCTCAAATTATTCATAAATTCAAATTTAAGTTTAATTTATATATAATTTATAATGTTTAATAAAGACATAGTAATTACTGAAAATTGAGAATGAACATATATAATATCGCATTATAAATTATAACGCTAATAATGTATGCTCTTGTAATTATAAATACTGCTCTTTAGTATTAGAAAACGGAAATATCTATCTGTTATTTTTGTCATTATCAAATAAGTTAATGTAGTAATTTCAAGAAGTTTAAAAAGAAATGACCTTCATTGAATATGTACAGACTTTGTCAGATAATCCGTACTTTGGTGCTGGGTTCGGTTTGTTTGGATTAGGTGCTGGAGCAGCAGTGCTACGGAAAGGTTTACAAGCTGGTTTGATACTCTTCAGGTAAGCGTTAATAGTGTTTATGTTAAAAATCATAACTTCTTCTTCCAATATTAAAGGTAATTTGATATTTATATTTTAGACGGCATTACATGATAACACTTGAAGTACCATGTAGAGATAAAAGCTACGAATGGCTCCTGAAGTGGATTACGTACAAAGGTGCTAAGAAAACGCAACATTTAGCCGTATCAACAAGTTTTGAACAAAGTGATACAGGATACGTTTCAACAAGATATGAGTTTATACCAAGTATTGGTACACATTTTTTTAGGTTTGTATTATTATGATCCCACCGTAATAAAAATGAATTATGTAATAATGATAATATGAATTGTTTATTAATTATTCGTTAATGTTGTGCGTGTTGTTTATAAATTGCAAAGGTACAATAAGAATTGGATAAAAGTTCAGAGAACGAGGGAACAGCAAATGCATGATGTAAATTTAGGAATGGCGTTTGAATCGGTTCATCTCACTGCTTTTGGAAAGGATAGAAATATTTATTTTCAAATTCTGGAAGAGGGTAACTGAGAATTTACAAATAAATATAATTTATTATTAAAGCATCTGTTATGGTGTGCATTACTTGTTTTAGCTAGACAAATGGCTCTGGCTGAACATAAAGGAAAAACCATTATGTACGTAGCAATGGGACACGAATGGCGACAATTCGGGCATCCAAAGAAGCTAAGACCACTAGAGAGTGTAATACTCGATACTGGTATCGGTGAAAAAATAGTAAAAGATTGTAAAGAATTTATTGAAAATGTAGCATGGTATAGCGATAGAGGAATTCCGTATCGAAGAGGCTATTTATTACATGGACCTCCTGGCTGTGGAAAATCTTCATTTATTACTGCTTTGGCTGGTAATTTAGATCGTGGAATTTGTGTATTAAATTTGTCCGATCGACTTCTTTCGGATGACAGATTAAATCACTTATTAGCAATTGCTCCGCAACAAACGATCATTCTTCTCGAGGACATTGATGCTGTATTTGTTAGCAGAGAAGAGACAAAAGAAGTCAAAGCGGCGTATCAGGGATTGAACAGCGTTACATTAAGCGGTTTATTAAACGCTTTAGATGGAGTTGCATCATCCGAAGGCAGAATTCTATTTATGACCACTAATTATTTGGATCGACTAGATCCGGCTCTCATTAGACCTGGTAGAGTGGATTATAAGGAATATATTGGTAAATGATACTTTTTATGTTGCAAAATTTCTTTTTCTCTCAGTCTTCTTAACCTAATTTTATTCCTTACAGGATGGTGCAGTTATATTCAGCTTGAACAAATGTTTCTTAGATTTTATAGGATGCATGATGCAGAAACTGAAAAATTGTCAAAAAAGTTTGCTGAATGCATTCTATCATATAATCGTAATGTGAGTCCAGCTCAAATTCAAGGCTTTCTTTTATTCTTTAAAAACGAACCAAAAACTGTTGTAAATAATGTGTCGAAAATTTGGGAACTTATGTAGGATATGTTAAAGGTTATATTAGCATTGAATTGTAAAGAATAAAATTATTATACACATTTTTAAAAAGCAAGATGTATGTTTATTTGTTATAATTTTTATAATTGAAGGAAAAAATTTACAAATCACATATTTTTCATTCTTAGTAAATGCTTACTAACAAGAATAAAGCTATAGATCAAATTAGTAAAGAATTATTATTATTTGTTTAAGATATGCCAGATATTTACAGTTACATTAAAATTAATTATAACTATACAAACTTTGTAAATTTTACATTCAAAATTATAACAATAAGAAATATTCTATTTCTATGTAAATGATTTATAATCTATATACAATTATTTTGTAATAGTGATTACTTAATAATACTTATAATTAATTGGGTAAAAACTAAAAGTGTTATTTTGTAATATATATTACAGTTATTGAGATCATGAATATTCACTTAAAGATAAGTGTTTTTTTCCTGTTTATATATATATATATATATATAAGTACAATAGAAGATTTTCAATGCATTGCTAAAATTACTTTACAAGTATTTTATAAGCAAGTAGAATTTATTATCGAATTTACCTACTACGCGCAATAAAAATTATTAAATTATATTGCATTTTTCTATTCCTCTATTTATTATAAAAAATCGTTTTTAGAAATATCTGTACAATACTTTAAACACAAAAAATGTTTATATGTATTTTTAAAAATATATTCATTTAATATTTTAATATCTCAGTAATTAGGAAGCAAATCCATATTAGATGAAGTCGTATATTTATTATAATTAAAATCATGATTAATAATAGTGACTTAATGAATTTAATCGAAAAATTTTTTTTAAATCTTTAAAATCACATGAATATTTTATGAATATTATTTTATAATATCATTAAATGTTGCATAATAAAATAGTACTTAATAAAATTGTCTTACTTATACTGATTTCATAGTTTCATCTTCAGGAAGACATAGTGTACTAATGTTTCCTGAACATTTCATTGTACTATTTAGAAAGGCGGAACGTTTGATATGAAATGATTTTTAAACAGTCATGGGGAAAACAATATTACATTAATTATGAAGTAATTACCAGTAATGGCTCTAATCATACTAAATTGTATAATTAGCATTTAATTTCCGAGTGCTGTATTAAGCTCTTAGGTCTTACACTAATTGCCAATAATAAATATTTTCTTATAATTACAAGCATAAATTATATCTAGAAATCCCATGTCTGTTTAAAAATCAAGAGTATTTTTAGGAAACATTTGTATACATTTCAGAATGTCCAGATGTAAGGTTCGTAATTCATAGGATCGGTTTGCTCCATATGTCCTGTGTGACTGCTGCTTCCCATCATGCACGATGGATATGCAATGTTGTTGCTTGGCTGAGTGGGAATGGGTGGTACAATTGCCGAAAGTGCTAGTCTACAATCTGGCCTTTGTTGAATCATTGATCCCATGGCTTGCAGAGCTTGGGATTGCGGAGGACCTTGGGAGCACACTGGTGGTACTTGAGTATGTTCTTGAGGGTGGATGAGAACCGCTGAAGTACTTTGCATATCGTGCGCTGATTGCATCATTGCCGGAGCTGTAAAGTTGTTGAAATGTATTACATACTACATTGCTTACATATTTATTCTCGATTCATAGAGGATTTGTTGGAAAGATTAATTTTTTTTAATGAAAATTTTAAAACATAAGTTATTTACATTGTGAATGACTTTGATATTGTAAATTTGTTTCCTCCGGCAATATATTTGTAGATGGTGCTACAATTTTTAAAGGTGACGTTTCCACTCTTTGTTTCTTATTGAATTGCTTGGAGCTATCTTCTGAATGTTTATTGCGCTTTTTACTTGGGGATTTCTTCTTCTTTTCTCCGATTATCTTAACTTTATTGGACCTATTACCACTAGGTTGCCACAGGTGAACAGTATGAACAGTGTTGCCTTCTCTGAATAAACATAATAATTAATTTATTAATTAATTAATTTATTATATGTTTGATGCATTGCACTGCACTGGAATGTCAAAGTCTATGGGATAATTTACCCTTGCTTTTTTCCCAATTTCCAACTGTGAATTCCTGCTTTATGCAGTCTTTCTCTGATTGTATCAACGCTACATTTAAGACCAAGAGCAGGTGCTACATATTTTGCCGCTGTCAAAGGATGCTGAGTCGCCATTGCAATAATAGCATCATCCTGTTCTTTCGTAGTAATACGTCTTCGACCTTTTCTCTCTTTTGTTTGAACATTTCCTTCTTTATGCCAACGATCCAACCATCTTTTAACCGTTCGCTCCTGTCAATTAAAAATTTTCATCTATACTATCGTTACAAAATTTTCTTAAGCAAAGAAAGAACATTTACATACTGATCTGTTAATAGCCAGAGCGATGGACAATGTTGATAATCCTGCTTCTGACATTCCAATCATACGATTACGAATTTCAATACTCGTTTCAAGGGTTCCCTTAATTTTACCACCTTTCTTTCTCCTAAGTCTTCCGGATTTTCTTTTTTTGGTTGTAGTGCAATTATTATCGCTACTTAATTCATCATCTACACTTGAGTTTTGACTATTTTCATTAGAGCTATTATTAGAATTGGAGCAAGCATCCGAGCATACATTAATTATGACATCTTGAGGTTCGTTTAATTTTCCTTGAGATACTTTTGTTAGATCTTGATGGTGTTCTATTTGTTGATGATCGACTTTTTGCTGAGATATATCATGGTGCTGTGAATGCATGGATGGTGGAATTTGATCCTGCATATGCTGATTAAGTTGCGCATCGTGGTGATTGTGTAATTGAGAATGCGTCTGAATATGCACGGGTTGATGCTGTTCGTGATGAATTGAATTTTGATGATTCTACAATTGAGATTAAAATTGCATTACAATTCACCAGCATCTTTATTAAAAGACAATGTATTAATTAATATAATCCAATCACTTATTACAAAATTGAAGAATTCAATTATAAAAGGAATCTCTACTGAGAAATCTCATTAAACAACAAATTATCAGATAATATCAATTAAAGGTTATTAATAGCTTGATAGATTGTTAAATGACATGTTTATTTTTCTACCCACCTGAGTATAATGATGAGCACCTTGCACAAGATCGATGGGCCAATTTTGTGAAACATTAAGTCCTGGATGATGATGATAAATTGGTTGCGATTGTGGTAATAGATTTAACGAATGACTATACTGGCTTGGATTAGTAGATATCACAGGATGAGGCAATGGCGGTGGAGGTGGGGGTGGCAAAGGCTGCATTTCATTCAATTGTGCCTGCGCTGGCACACTTTGTTGCGGGGAAGAAAATGCAAAGCTCGATTGTACTTCGGTTTGCTGGGTCGTGTCGTTTGATTCTACATTGGTATTAAAAGCTTGCTTGGACTTAGCTTTTCGAGGAACTACTTTCTTCTTCGATTGGGAATTGTTAGTTTTGACCGTAGCTACTTCCTTCGATAATTTCTTTTTACCAAGCTGAGTACCAGTAGGTCGCCATACCGCTTGTTGTATTCCTGCTCCATCGGCAACTCTAAATTTATATATTACACTCAGTACTATAATTTTTCTAAATTACGAAATAGCACGTTTCTTATTCTTCGCTCATAAACAATCGAATCCATTACTCACGCTATAGGCATCTTTTGTATATGCTTTCTAGACGGACTCCAATTATGAATGCCAGCTTTGTGCAATCGCTCTCTAATCGTATCTACGGAGCAATTAAGCCCCAGCGCCGGAAGCACAGCTTTAGCAGCTGTGATCGGAGTCTGAGTGGCCAATCGAATAATAGCTTCGTCCTGTTCTTGAGTAGTTGCTCTTTTACGGCCACATCTGTCACGAGTCTCTACGGTACCCTCCTTATCGAATCTATTCAGCCATCTCTTTACGGTTCTTTGCTGTATAAAAGAATATTATGTAATATAAAGTAAGAGATGGTTCTTCTTAATCGGCAACATCATTCAATATATCATAAGCAACGATCATGCTTACCGAACAATTTACAGCTGCAGCAATTTCTCGAAGGCCAAGACCTGCTTCGTACATTCCGACCATTCGATTTCGAATCTCCGGGGTTGTTTCATGCACACCTCTGGTTTTCCCCATTTTTATCCACGTCTTTATTAATATAATAATAACAACTGCAATGAATTAAAAAATATTGCTCACCAGGGCAGACAAACATATTAAGAATTGACAACGGCGGTGAAAACAATCCAAGTGCTGTCTCTCTTTAAACTCGAGATATACAACGATTCCAATAACATACCTTGATAAAATAAAAATGAGCACGCGGGATTATTTAAAATCTTCGATTCTGGAACATCCACCACGTGACAAATGGCCGCTACTCTTTTCTCTTTCTTTCACGCCTACCGTAAACACTCTCAATTCGTTGGAATATCTTCGGGCTCTTGAGAAAATGTGAAAGCTTAACGAACTCTCGAACCGTCCTCCAAAATAATGCATTATAGTTCACTAGCATAACGGCGGAGTCGATGAGGAGACGCGCGAGGCTCGTCAGCTCGCGACGAATTCGGGTTATGAGGTTCCTTTAACGCGAGCCTCCTCCACGCTCCGATCTCCTCATGCTCGCAGTCCACTGAAAAAAAATGCCGGCGCGTATCCTCGAAGGTCTTTGACAGGAAAACAAACGCGAAAAGGAGGAACAGTGGGTGGGAGAGAGCGCGCGAGAGAGAGTGGGAAATAAAAGGCCGGGCGCGGTCAATACTTCAGCTGTACAGTCCATGAAAATCCTGTCGCCGTAATCGGTCCCCGTGTCCTCGACACTTGGCTGCCACTCTCTCTCTCTCTCTCTCTCTCTCTCTCTCTCTCTCTCTCTCTCTCTCTTTCAATCAGACGATTAGGAGAGTGTCTCGGCCGCCGGGAGGAGCCGTCTCCTCGAGGGGCCTCCACCCAGACCAAGGGATCCTCCGACGAGGTTAACCGGGAGCTAAATCCAGCCACGAAGGCACACGCACGAGCGACAAGGATGGGGCGCGCTCTCTCTCTCTCTCTCTCTCTCTCTCTCTCTCTTAGCCTCTCGTTGCCCTGGCGGGGGCACGCGCTGCTGTATTACTGGATAAGGATGGGGGCCGCCCGAGAGAGAGATGGGTGAGTCGAGCTGTAAGAAAGGAACGTCAATAGTAATTCCGCCTCTGAGTCACAGCAACGCGAGCCATTGGATACACCAGCTGTACAGTCACTGCTGATATTTTGTCCGAGCAGACGACGCGAGATATTGTTTTCGTCCTGGACAGTTGTTTCGCTGCTTGTGCCGTGCCGTAACCCCGTGCATATGCGACGCCGCCAATCGCTCCGTATTATTTCAACATTTCTTTCACCCCTTATTGTCATTCTTTCTTCTTCCTACTTAAATTTCCAACGCTAATCGAACCTTCCGACCTTTTTACAGCCAGCATACTTAGCGACTTCTTACAATTACATTCGGACGCATTGTTATTCCGTCGTACGAGTATTAAATTGTATTTTAAGATCGAACTGTATTATTTTCTCGTATTTGCCGCCCCCTCCCCCCGCCCCCCAAAAAAAAAACAAAAAACAAAATAAAAAAAAAACTCAAGCATCGCTCTTATGTTAAATACGTGAAAGCTTGGAATGTCCGTGATGATGCTATGACTTTTTTTTTTTTTCAATTTTTGAGGATATAAATAGCCGTTGCCTTTCTTCGAATATCGCAAAGGTGAAAGAAATTATTTTTTGCCTATCACACAATGACGCAGGCAGATGGAATTTTCATTCAACCTTAAAAACAATTTATAGTCTGCCTCCGAAGTCTGCCTGCCTTCCTGCCTTTAGAGCATTTGGCCTTTGAGCATTTAAGTGATTGAAGTTTCGTCTTTAGCAGAGAAAAACTCACTGTGATCAATAATATGTGAATAGTATGCGACAAAAGAAAAGTACGAATATTTATACACAGTCTAATGAATCCCATGCCATAGTTTTTTATTCATCTGCATCATTTAAATAATTTAACAACCATATTCAATCGTTGAAATTTAAAAAATTTTAAAGAATTTCTACACTTGCTGTTGTTGTTGTTGTTGTTGTTGTTGTTGTTGTTGTTGTTGTTGTTGTTGTTGTTCTATATCTTATATTAAAATATTTACCTAAGTTTTAATCATCGAATCATCTTTCTCTTATCAAATCTATAGCAATTACAATTGTATTAATATTTATAGAAATTCTGAAATTTCATCATGCAGAAATGTAAATATAAGACGATAATCCATTAAGAAGCGACGAATTATATTTACCACAGCAATATTACAGATTTAATAAACTGAATGCATTTGAATTATTTACGCTTTGTGCTTAAATACATTCATAACGCTTCATATAATTAATTTTGAAAATGCATTAACATATATTTCTGATTTAATAGAATTCGTTAAATTTTCATAAACTAAATATGAGTGCAATTTGCTTTCTTCCGCAACTTTCCACGGAGAGGAAATGTGAGAGGAAACATCGTAATTATAAACTTTAAATTTTATCAAAATTAATGACATAACATTACCCATTGCAATTGTATTAATCGGCAAGCACAAGCTTCGTTAAATTCGTAAGACAGTATAAATGCAAATTTGCATTTCAAATGTCCTTATGAATTTTACGAATCCTAGCGATAGCGTAACCTCACTATATTACAGCCATATTCACTAATATTAAAAACGCCAAAAAGTAAAGCTGAATAATTAATAACGGAGGAACCATGAGCTGATTGATTGATGATTAAACTTAAACGCGATGTACAAGGGGAACTTAAGTTCTCTACTCAGGATCGGGGCAGACGTCATCCCTCTTCCTCGAGTTTATATTTGATTAGCGAGAAAATTATTTTACACCAGCGTCTATTTGTGCGAATGCGTGCACTTGTTTATTTTCTACGAGCTTTATCCATCTTTTGGAAATACAAAAAAAAAAAAAAAAAAAAAAAAAAAACATTTTCTGACGATGACATAAGTTTCTTTATCGATGCAAGACCGGAATCGTAAAATTTCCAACTCTTCCACGTTATAATTTTATTATCAACTGATAATCCATAACATCCGAGCATTGCTTTTTAATGGACCATTTTTTCATTCAAGAGGTAAAGCTTCAAACGTCGGTTGCATACTATTTTCATAGATGCATTGTTCACTATTACACAACCCTGTAATTGAAATTGAATTGAATCATATATTTCAATTAAATCGTGCAATTATTTTATTATTAATCGTTATGCAAATTAAATTGAACTATTGTAAATGGCAGTTCGAAATATCATCTTCTATTTTTTCTACTAAAATATAAAATTTACCAAAGTATTATTATAGATTTTTCATAGTTTCGTAACTACAAATCAAATGCAATATTTACAATTCTACTACTCGCTTCAGTACGCGTGAGTAAAATGAAATTACAATATTTTTTTAAAAAAAAATAATTTTTCATCAAAATATACTTCAGTTATGAAAATTTTTTTATATTTATATTTAGGTTGACTATGTAACAATGCCGTTTGCAAAGTCGTGTTAAACTTTTATTGCGGATGAAAATAAATGGGATTGGAGTGAGTGGCCCGAAAGTTTTACAAAATTTATTCGAAAAATAATGACGAATCTGAAATAATTATCAAAAAATTTTCATTTCCTCTCCGCTTTTGGCATGAGAGTAAGTCAAAAAATATTTATACAGACCTTTCTCGGATTATGATATTATTTCATCTAGGCTAAATATATAAATATAAAGTATTTAAAAAATACGTAATCTCCGTTCTGTTTTTGGCTACTAAATAAAATTTGAAGCCTTTTACGTAATACAAATTCAATTTTCCGACAATAATTAGAAGCCTTTATTGAAGCCGAAATAATACAATCATGTCTGTGTAAAGTTAAATTAGTTGAGTGTGCGTGAGCGAAGTATATCAAGTAGGTGGGCTATCAATAAGCAAATGGAAATTATATGTCGAATTATAGCGAGGCAATCTATCCTAAATGTTATTTAAAGAAAATAATATGGAAAATGGAATATTAGGTATCTCGTTTGATGTGAATTCGTTACTTCAATTTTCATATTGAATCATTCGGTAAGTCACTTACTTGAGGTATAAAATGTAATGAATTAAATGTTTAAAAAATGTAATAAATAGATGTCACTCCCCATTGAAATCTATTAAGTTTAGTAATTCGATAAGGATAGTGAATATATGAGAAAAAAAAATCATTACCTAATTTATGTTTGAATTTTGAACTGAATTCTTGTAGATTACACGCTTACGTGTCTCGTATTTTCACGATTACGTGAAAATGAAAAATTATTTTGTCTACAAGTGGTTGCCTGGTTGTATGGTGAAAATGAGATTTGCTCGAATCCTCGCGTAAATGGAAAATTTAAGCCAGGATATAAGAACGTCCACGAGGTAGGCAAGTAGGAAAAATAAAAACTAGTCGGAAAATAACATTAAATCATAGAAATAAATTGAGAGGATCGGGGTGCGACGATTGCCTTTTGCTCTCTAATTTAGTAAGAGAAAAAGCGTGGGGGACTAAACTACTGCATCCGCCGATCAAGTCCCAGTCTACCGCTCCTCCCTCCACCTCTCTCTCTCTCTCTCTCTCTCTCTCTCTCTCTCTCTCTCTCGCTATAGGACAACGTTTGAAATTGTTACGTCGAAAGACAATTGCACCTACGGCACTTGATCTACTAACCAATTTTTCGGGACCTCGACTTACATTATGAATTTTTTCAAATGGCAGAGAATGTTCACTAACCATTAAAAAAAAAAAAAATTATATTACATTCGAAATGTTTCAACTGGCAAAAAGAAAATGCAGAAAAAGAATTTTTCATATTCCAAATTGAGACGAACTTTTTTCGTGCTATCATAACAAGTAAATTTAAGAGAAAGTTTTGGATTTATTTGAGGATCATAATTATTTAATATATTCAATTACTACGGCGTTAAGAATTATTGTAATAAACTCTAGGCAAAAGTTTTTATAAAAAAAGTGTATTACGCGTGGACAAAAAATACGCGAAATGCAGAACAAATTGCAGAAATTTTGAACCTTTGTCGCGTACTTAATCTAGTTTTTTTTTTATGCATGCCTTTCTAATTCCACCCTACTTTTATCCCATTAAATTTAAATTCTATTTTTAACTAAAAAAAAAAAAAAAAAAAAGAAGAAAATATAATCTCAACAATTATTTTTAAAAACTACACTTATAATAAATAACAAGTATTAATGTTTCTATAAAACAATGAATAAATCGATTGATTTTTAATATTCATCTTTTTTTTTAAATATCATTAACGTTTTTCTTGTAGCAAATATTCGACGGAAAAAATTTCTGCCTCAATATTCGGCTAATAAATTAATAAATTTATTATGTGTGTCGAATAAATTTTCCACATTTAGAAATAATGATTTCTATTCTATAAAATTTATATTCACATAAGATTTTTAACATAATAATCGTTATAAATGTTTATAAATAATTAATATAAGAAATAAGTTGTAAAAAAATAAGTTCAAAGCAATGATTAATGAAGTTCTTTGAAGTTTAGGTAATATAATAGAAAATGTAGTTAAATGAAGTTTATTAATGAGGTTAAGAGAACATTCTACTATAAGTATTTTTCAACTTTTAATTAATTGTTAATAGTAATTTCTTTGAAAACGTTACGCTCGTGTAAAAAAATTATTTTCCATGTAATATATTTTACTTCTACATACAAACTTTTTAAAACTTACTTTAGAAAGAATAAAATCAGCCGTTAGCATTAGAGTTTTTTTTTTGTCTTATACAAATCAAAAGTTTTACTCTTAAATTTTGTAAGCATTTTGTTTAATTATTTATCCAATTAATATAAAAAATATTTAAGTTCGTTTTGTTTTTTAGTGTTATATAAGCGGTGTAAATAAATTAGTCTGAAATTATTTCAAATATTGCGTATAAATAAGCGTATTAGACACAAAAAGGACACTGCTTTACTTTTAAAAATCTCAGCTTAATAATAATGCCAATTACATTAAACAGGTGAAATACTTACAGATACTGCCATTATCATTGCATTATAATATAATTATCGATAGTTTTATATTAATTTTCGTAATTATTTTATAGCATCTTGTAATAAAAACTTGTGAGGTTTTACGATCGAATATTTCTTTGAGATTACTTAAATCGATTTGGAGATAATAAATAAGCGTCTGGCCTTCCGCAACTAGAAGCACGAACAATACGATGGAATATTGTTTGAATTACGCTTGAACACATGAACTAGAAAATAGTTGCGTGCTAATGCAAATGACATTAAAATCTTTTAACTTTAGATGATAATAGATGTCATTAAACAAATTGCGCTAAATGCTGGATGAATTAACGAGTGACGATAGGACAGAAGCTGGCTAACAAGGCTCGGCTAATAGTCTTTTATCGAGCAAAGTTGAATGTCAATGTCGATAACTCGCAGGCGATTCTCAATAAGCTCAATAAACGCAAATGGAGCGACGTTAGTCGAGGTGAATGTGGCGATGAGCGGACGAGGACTGCGAGACGCGGGACGGGGGATGGAGGACTGGCGACGATGGCGATGAGATTTACACGAGGAGTTCCCGGTAGACACGTGGAGAAATGATTATCGCACCTGCTCTTCGTGGAGGGAGTCCGATAGCTACCGTCGGCTTATCCGTAAAAACTTGTACGGCGCATCGGGGTGGGAGTGACTGGGAGGGAGGGGGAGCCGCCCTATCTCACGGCTCCGGCTCTCCCGCGGCGATCAGTCGCGCAGTCTCAGCCCCTCTGTACCAGCGGCGACAGTATCACCATCAGCAGCATCAGCATCGGCATCAGCATCAACATCAGCAGTAGCAGTAGCAGCAGCAGCAGCAACGGCCCCTGAAGAGCCGCAGCACCAGATCATGTACTCGATACGAGTGCTACCCCTTTTGCTCGTTCTCCCTACACTTGGACTCCTAAACATCGTCTACGCCGGAGTACGTATACCAGGACCGGCACCGAGCCCTCTCCTCGCTCCCGGATCGCTATCTCCCTCTACCCCCCCCCCTCTTACCGTTTCAGTATTCTACTTAATATTGTTTATGGGAGCGCATTGAGAATATAAACTTCGAGCCGATTTTTCCGCATTAATATCCACGAAATCTGTTGTTTCTATACGAATCAAATTTTGAGAGAGAGAGAGAGAGAGAGAGAGAGAGAGAGAGAGAGAGAGAGAGAGAGAAAGAGAGTGATAGTGACGGGAGGATGGAAAAGATGATAGTCGTTAATATCGATCGATTGGCACTTTTGTTTACAGACGCGGCCCAGCTTCGTTTCCGATAAGATGATAGCGACAGCTGCCAGTGTTGTGAACGCCTGTCAAATGCAAACGGGCGTGGCTACTGGTAATGCACCAGGTTTTCTTTAACTCCTACCCTCCCTCCTGCCCCATTACCGACCTACCACAGTATGCGCAACGCAATACTGATAACCGAATTTAAAGCGCAAATCTCGAGCCGTTCGTTGTTTTACAAGGCGAAACATGTATACATGTTTATTTTATAAGAGCTAAAGTCGTGTGTTGTTTTGAAGGCAAAACTTTATTAAAGTTGTTGGGCAATTCGCGCGTAACACGTTGACTTTTATTTGAATCTGTATGCGTAATCCCAGAAACGTGAGCCAACTTTTTTAACTCTCGTGAAATATTGGCGATACTATTCCCGAATATTTCAAAAGCACCTTCAGATGTGTATATGTGCAAATGCCATTGGATGCTGTTTCGTGGAACTTTGATCGACTTTGCGCCAGCAAGTTTATAAACGAGCCAAGATTTTCATTTAACTCCTGAGAAAGCATTTAATTCTTAAAGAGTTAAGTACTCCAATGAATTTTGATAAAAATTGTTGCAAAGTTCAAGTAAATGTATCCACAACGACGTTTAACTTTTATCAATATTATCACATTTATTTACGTAGTATTATTTATTATCGATATTTTTTCTCACACATGGTACATAAATACTTCTGAAAAATACCCTCAAATGTTTTTTCAGCCGACATCGAGTCGGTGAGAAACGGCCAATGGCCCGATACTCCGGAATTGAAGGTAAACACTTTTAAATTTCTTTTTATAACTAAATATTTCATGCCCTTCCATAAACATTATGAATACAAAAGATAACGTTTAAAAATCAATATCCCCCATTCTACTTGTAATGTACAAATATTACTAAATAATAAAAGCATTTAACAGATTTGACTGCTTTATTGTTGAATAGACATTCGTGATATAATTGGAAATTTTCAACTAATCATTTTTCTATTTCATTAGACTAAATTTACTGTTGTTGTTGTTGTCGTTGTTGTTGTATTTTCTTTACCAATATAGTAACAAATACTATACTATAAATAAAATAACTTTTATGTAAATATGCTTGTCAATAGATTTGAATATAAAATGAATTCGTGAAAATGTAGAAAGGTTCAAAATTTAATATCCGACGAATTGTTTAATATTTACACAAAATACAATTTATTTGTTAAAAAAAAAAAGAAAAAACAAAAAAAAAAAAAGTACTTTAAATCAATTTATTATATTAGTTGATTGGAGATTCGCGTAAGATACCATAACAAATGAACTGAACTGTTATCTAATATTTCATCTGAAATAGATTTTTATGACGATGATAAAACTTTTGAATTAATTTACAAAAATTGTCGCATATACCCTATGTATACGCAATTTCATTTTCATTCAACAACTCGTCGTAACTATCCAGTCATAAAACTAAGTAATTACCTACTAAATTATAACTATTAAATTAATTGACTATTGAAAATTTTTGTATTGCTATCGATTAATATACTTTTTCAGAGTATTAAATTATACAGGCTTGCAAATATTGTGTATTTATTATTCAAGTACGCATACTATTACACATACTAATTGGTTCGAAGAATAATCGTTAAAAATTTATCTTAGAAGCCTCCAAAACAGTTTATTAGACATTACTATTATGTAATTATTTTTTCGATAAGTAATATAACAATATGTCACTATATTATTAGTTCAATTCAATTACTTATGCACAGTTTTTTTATACTAATAATTTCAAAGAATGTATGTTTAGATAGATTTACAATAAATTATCCATATAATTAGCTTAATAATCATAGCCAATAAATACTATTTGTTATTTGACACTTTTTATAACTGTAATAACATTCAAACCATTGTATATGAAATTGATAATTTTCATTATTATATTTTTAATCAATTTAATAGGATGTACGCAATCGAATAATTTAAAATTTTGTTTAAATTTTTACATTAACAATGTAATTGTAGTAATTCAACAAATTGTGAGTTATATAGTTACAATATAGTCAGAAGCCATCATATTATCATTGACTAACATTATAATTCTCTTGTTTCTATATTGAATTGAATAATTCTTTAATTATACGAATCCTTCGGAATCAAATAATTCTCAAGATCAAACATATTTTGATAAATTTTTAAAATACACATACAAATTTTACTAATAAGTTGATTCATTAATTTTATCACAAATAGGACACGTTTACCCATATCATTCAATCAATTGATTTACGCATTTGCATTTAAATTGATCAATAATAGAAAATATACGTTTGAAAAAAAAAAAAAATTCATTGAATTACTATCAGATTACGTTCGTAAATAAATTTGCATGGTTTTTATTATTAAAATTAACCAACAAATGGCGTCACTATTTTAAATCTATACATAAGACTTCACATAGTATTTTGTTTTAATATATATATATATATATATACAGAAGCCAGTAATAAATTTTAAAATTAAAAAGATTCTTTTTATAAAAATTAACTTTGTTATAAGAATTTTGATGTGCAGATAATTTAAAATTTGCATTTATTCCGAATCAATAAACCAGACGATCAATACCCATAGGGCTTTTGATGTACATTGCTACGTCATTCAAGTCGAACATTCACTTCACGTAATGAGGATACTCTGTTGATGTTCACACAGATAAATCTGATAATTACAAGGAAAAAAATGGAAAATGTGCTCTTAGAACTTTTGAAACTTTGAAAATAAATAGATATCATTCTCTTAAAAAAAAAACAAAAAAAAAAAACATCATTTTATAGTATTAATTGTATATAATTGAAAATATTCATTAATGAAAAAATATTTTGAAAATAATGTGATATACAATGAAAGGATGATATTTAAATATTATCATAATTATAAATAAATGAAATGAAGGAAGAGATTATGCTAATAACTTACACCAAATATATATAAAATAGTATTTCGATACGATAAAGTTGCAATGTACGTATATAATATATTCCTAGAATAAATTACCAATATTAATCAACAGTTAATTAAAATTTTAATGATAATTAATGATACTGAACAATAGTATTAGTTCCGTTAATAATGAATTATTAAAAACTTAAAGTGACTTTCAAAAATCGTATGAAATTAATAATTCAATTTATAAATTATGAACTATAGTTGTTCAAATATGTTTTTGTGTAATTAAAATTTCAAGAATTTGTAATAAAAATAAAATGATATATGAACAGGAAGCGCTGAAAACCTAACAAGTGATATAATTATAGTTTATATATTGTTTAAAATATATTAATACTTCGATATTTTAAGAAAGATTACCATTTAAATGAAGTAATAATTGAGTCTTATTAAAATCAAAGTAGGTCTACGTAGAAAGTACATTCGCACTTTCATCTTATAATGAATTACTAACTCTAACGTCGTAATCCTTAGATCTGAAGAAATTAGATAGAATGAGATAACAGTTTCCTGTAACTACCTTCCTTATGCTTATATGTAATGCTCGTTTTTTTTTTATTTTGTTAACTATTTTTAGTCTATTTTATAATTTCCACTGAAATGTTTATGTAGTTCTTAATATTATTTTCAAAATAGGTATATTGCTATTAACGATTTTTGGCAATATTTTTAAATTTAATTTATATCGCTTATATAATGTATGAATTAGTAAAAGAAAAAATAAATAAACTGCCGTATTTAGACTTATTACAAAGTAAAAATAAAAAGCAAAAACTATTGATTATACGATTCGTTATATAAAAAATATTTTCCTTCTAAAATGTCTAGCCGTAAAAATATTTCCTTCTCAATATTAAAATAAACATAAAAATCTTAAAGGTGGATAAGTATATATATATATGTTGCATCAGAATTTATGTGAATTAATTTGTAATTGATCTACTTATATCATAACTACAATAAAACTATTAATATCTTCCATATTGCCTAGAATAATTTACTACATTTTCTCGTATCATAATCATAATAGTTTTTGCTTTGATTTTTTTTTACATTTAAACTTCTTTACGCTCGAAAGTATTATATAGTTTTTACAAATTTTATTTATACAAGTTTACGTTTATTTCTAGCTTTACTTCAACATATATATATATATATATATTGTACTTTTACATTATGCTTACAAACAATATTAAACTGTTTTATATTAGTAAATTATATGCTACAAGGATTACTTATCAATACATTCAAACTAGTTAAATATTTTATTTTTATTTTTTTTTTGCAATTGAAATCTGCTTGAGAATATTAATATTAGTATACTTTGAATAATATTTAATAATGTTTAATTATTATGGTTATTACATAATAATAAGCTAATTTGTTATAGTTATTGCAAATAAAGGGATAATTTAATACATTAATTGGGTTATAATTGGCTTTTATTAGCATTAAACTATAAATTTGATTATTAATTTATAAGAATGAAATATATTAAATACCGTAGTTTTATAATAAGGTCTAATTGAACATTACAAACTCGGTATAATTGCGTTATTCATAGTTTAGTATAACAGTATTGCAATTACGCGGAACGTTGAATCATAAAAGTTAATATATTACTTTTCGTTAATATTCTGAAAAAGCTATAACATGCTTTAAAAAGTTCGAAATCGAAAATTCATATAAAACTCAAAGGAACTCCAAATGAATTCTGATTAAGCTTTTTGTTGGAATATTTCCATAGAAATATGAATTCATAATGTTCCCTTCGTAATATTACATAATTAACGCAATTAAATGACGAATATATATATATATATATATATATATATATATATATTAAAAAGTGTTACATGTACTGTCTCTGGGAGCAATTTGGATTGATCGATGAAAAACGCGAACTGAGCTTAAATGGAATGCTGACATTTTTCCAAAGAATACCGGCTTATCGTACTGAAGTTCAGAAGGCAATTAACGAGTGCAAGGCCCTTGGTAAATATTTCGGTATCTATAGTGTATCTTTTTTCTTTATTTTACTTATGTTCGATAGATCGATTATTTATAATTTTAACACTTTCTTCTTTTATTCATTTGATTATTCGTCTATTTTTTATTATAATTTAATTAATCATTGTAGTATCAATTATTGTTTAATTGACCTCGATCCGTCGACGTAATCGATACACAAAAACTGAAAGCTGATTAGTGTGAAGAATGTTTGAAGTGAATGCGAAGAGCATATCTATATTCTTATACCTATCAGATGTCAGATTTTGTACTTGCAATTTTTTAAAACAATTTTATAAAATTAAAATATATTCATTTTTTTTTTTTACAGCCACGGGTGATACGTGTGAATATGCATATGCATTTAATAAATGCTATGCCGAAAGATCGCCAAGAGTAAGGAACAATTGTTTAATAAAAATTATTTTCATTAATAAATTTAATGAAATATATGGAAATTATTAATAATAATGTAATTTTCAGACGTACTACCTCTTTTAAACTGAAAAAATCTTTAATAATAACACAGAAGAAAAGTCATAAAATCAATTTAGAACATTAACGTTAAAAATGCTCGAAAATATGTCAATTCGCCGAGTAGCTCGATTTTGTGGAATTGAGAAGTTTACGGACTGAATCAATGATATTCGTAGTACTTGTACAATCGATATCATAAATCGCTAAATGAATAATACAAATAATCTTATTTGGTAATAAACAACAACAAAGAAATAGATAAAAATAATTAAAAGATCTTTCTCTAATAATTGTAAATTATTATAAATACTTTTTACGTTTATTATTATTATTATTGTCGTTGTTATTATTATTATTATTATTATTATTATTATTATTATTATTATTATTATTTATATTTATATTTATATTAATTTATTTTAAGCTTTGAGTTATAAATGAACGTGTAAATATTTTTTGCTATCGTAACATTTTTATTTAATATTATGTCATTTTTAATTTTTACGTTAATATGTATAAAAAAAAAATTCAATGAAGTTATTATTTTGTATGGAAATTTTGCCCTTTTATATGCGCAAGTACATTGTAAGTGACAATACTCGACTTTCAAACATCAAGCATCAAACTCAACTATCAAATAAGTCAAATTGAAGCGAATGTCGTCCTACTGCAGCAAGGAGTTACGAAAGTAATTACGTTTGTTTAGTCATGATACGATTGCTCTAGGGATAATATAATTTTAGATTATGACGATTGCAAACAAATACAATTGTCATGCAGGAAGAATATTTACTACACCAGTGTTCTACTAACAATACGTTTAGCACACCTTTGAATTATATACCATATTTAAAATACTTACTTCAAATAATTGCATTATATGATCAAAAAATATTTTGTAGACAATAATGGATACATAATAATCGTCTTTGTAGTTTAATAAAAAAAAAAAAAAAAAAAAAAAAAAACAGCCTGATGTTTTTATCCGATAATTAACAAATAAACTTGTTATGTATTGTATTGTGCCATTGATGTATCCAGTTCCTTTACTTTGGAATCGTATTAATTAATAAAAACAATTTGATAAATAGAAATAAATTAGTCAAGGATTGAGCATATTGGAATAAAATAACAAAAATTTATTTAAAATACAATAATTATGTTAAATATGAAATTTTTTAATGAGAAAATAAATTAAAATAAATTAACACGGCTTGCATTTGTATTATTTAAGAAACTTGAAAATGTATAAATCTTTAAACTATTGTCTATCTTCTTCTTTTATAAATCTGTAAATGGAATGCTCAGATTAAATTGAATAAATCTACGTGAAATTTATATTGCTAAGTCGTAAAATTTGGAAAATTTAATTAAACTTATATAGTAAGATTCTTATTAATTAATAAAATATTAACAATGTCGATAATATAATTAAGATAATTATCAATAACATATAAATTAATATATAATACATAATTGTAACTAAAAATGATCTTACAAAGTATAACTTTATATTATGAAAATAATAATAAAAAAACATTTTTTGAATTCAAATATGTCAAAAATATACATTAATAAAAATTAATAATAAAAAGTAATGGTTCACATAAGCATTTATTATATAGTTTTAAACAAAATATTAATAAAGCAATTGAATTTTATAAAATTGCATCGTCATATTGACAGATATATCATTAAATCATTTGATATGTATTTTTCTATGTCCAGCGGAAGCAATTTAGTCAATACTTACGTTGTAATGAACGTTTCTATGCATTAATTAATGAAATAGCTGTGCATATAAGATGGACACCTTCTTGTGTATTTCAATCAATCTTCAACGTACGTTTCATCTATCATAATAACATAACACATTGAAGTTTGTATAAATAAATTTAAAAACTATCTTGAAATGAAGTTGATTCTGTGCCTTTCAATTTTAATCGTGACTATTATAAAAAATGAAGCTAATGTGAGTAGAACACGTACAACTGTAATTTTCAATTTTCAATTTTATCATAAAGACAGGAATATTTTTTCGATTATTCGGTAATTAAATTTTATAGGTGCGACTTATTTCTTTTATTAGTTACGTCTTCAAAAAATATATTTGAAAATTTATAATTTATAAATATATGAATTTCTTTTATTTTCGTAGATGGTTTTGAACAAACTTTAGTATCTTATGTGAATCATTTAATTTTATATATGAGTGTTGACATCGGTGAGATTATATTATCTACAATTTCTTTTCCTTTATACAAATCTCTAAATGCATTAAATTCTTTTTAATAATTTTGCATATTAGAACATGTCGATAGAACAGTAGAAGGATATTTTCATCCTAGCGAAGTACTTGGTTGCTATTTCTCGTGTATATTTACCACTTTTGATTTGGTAAGCTTTCAGCGACAGATCAAATGATTTTTCTATTTTTTAATTTGTACTATTTTAATGAATATTTCCAATAGGTGGATAATGCTGGGCATATTGACTTTGACAAACTATCAACAAGGATTCCTGATTCCTTCAAGGATCATGGAACCGAAATGATTGAAAAATGCCGCCACATCAGTAATATAAAATAATTTTTTTTTTTTTAAAAATTCAAATATCGTTTTTAAATTTAATTTTGTTGAACCAGTTTTAGTATAAAAATTGTCATTACATTTCAATTTAAAGTTGAAACTTATTATTACAATATAAAATTAGATATGAATCAGTAAAATTAATTTGAAATTTTTTAAAATATCCCTTCTTTATATAATAATTATAAATTTTGTTAATATGTTGTTAGGATAAATTGATTAAATTTTGACAATTTTTACATAATATATATATATATATATATATATATAAATAAAAAATAAATTGAATATTATTTTATTAATAGTTAATGATAAAGTTGTAATTAATAAATGAATATTTCATAATAAATATCAATAATATTTATGAATTCAAAATTTCAGCCGGAACTAATCCTTGTGATTCAGCATTTAATATTGTCCAATGTTTCCAAAAAGTTAATCCATCGGTAAGTACTATAGTTTATAATTTATTTGTTTTAAAATAAGAAAAGATAAAAATATTTTTCTATTTTTCAGAAATACTTCGTTATTTAGAAAACTTTCTTCCACTGATTGAAATATGAAATATGAAATATTGTGCCTATTTGGTTTTATTTGTAATATTTTGTAATTAAAAAGAAAAATTGTATAAGTGCTCCATGATATTAAGCAATTAAAAATAATACACAAATTTTTGTATGATTTTTATTATTATTATTATTTTTTTTTTTTTTTTTTTTTTTTTTTTTGATAAGTCTTATGCACTAGAGATTCAGAAATCATTGCTCGCTCAGCACATAAGTACATTACAATAATGTTTCCTTGTGCAGATATTTTACACTTAACGAACAAATTATGTTTTAAATTCTGTTTTATATGTTATTGTTTTGCAAACTTACTTTTTCTCCTTAAAGGAAAAACATCGCAACAACTTCCTTTGGTACTTTGCCTCTTAAGATTAATACAAGATTGAATATTCAACAGTAATGTGAAGTACAATGACGCAATATGTATACAATATAAACGTAACGGATTACTTGAATGAAATTAATTTTATATTTTTAACTATATTTTCTACTATAAACTTATTAAACGATAAACATCACATTTACTATGTCCATGAAATTAATAATTTTACATTTAATAAAGTTACAAATTCAAATATATGTATTATTATTGTAATTCGTGAGTCTACAAAGTAGCGTAGATTTTTGTCATACAAAAAGTTCAAATAAATTAAAAAAATGCTTCTAACTTCTCAATGTATTTCTCTTCTCTTTCTAATATTGCACGTTTCAATATTCATTCGTATTCTTTTCAATGTGCTCACTTCATTGGGTCGTAGGTTTGGATATAATTGCAACGTCATCTAAACGTAAGACTTAACATTTCTAAATAGCGTCTCTATTTCATTCCACTGTAATTCTTATAATTCTTTTTGTAATATTTGCAACAAACTAGATTCTTTATTTCTTTTCTCTTTGGTTATTTTATATCTTTTTTTTTTTTTTTTTTTTGCAGATGATTTACAACGCCGCGCAAAATGCGCTTTGAAACTTGAATTACTTTAAAAAACATATAATGTCATGGGCTTAAATAATTTTTTACAGCTATCTATTACGCTCTTCAGCAGTCACTATACATTAAATATAACGAGTTTATAAGGTTCTCGGCCTCTGTGTACGTACGCAATTCATTTGACATAATGCTGCGTAGTAAAATAAAACAGCAAGTTCAAGATTATCTGTACTATTGTACTACAATAAGATTTACATCAAAGTAACTCAATATAGGCCGAACCGATCTTATCCGGATATACGAGGATTAATTCGCTATAAATTTCATTCACTGCCAATTATTCAATGACAATAGTATAACAATAGTACTGTCATCGCTTGATATTGTTGGTATTCAATACAACTATGCTTCTTTACTTTTTTTTATAACTATTACATATGATAGAAGAACTAATGACAAACGATAGGATTGTTTGGTGCCCATTATTTATCGAAGAATCTTCTGTTCTCTACGTTAATTTTATCCTCGAGAATTGGGAGAGTCGAGAGAGTTTTATAAGAAAAATCGTGATGAAATGTATCGTTAATCTTGTCTCTTACGCAAATAATTCTAAAGTTGAAGCTTCGTTGAAGCGAAATTTCGCACGTAACAGATATGGGCAAATTATTATTTTCAATTATTGTATTATTATTATGAAATTATTATGATTAAAATAAATCTCTCGACATTTACGAATTATACACATATTCACTTAATAGGATACAATTAGTTGACTCTCTTGGATTTGGGATTAATTGGTGGATTTTGCTGATACTAAATCTCGACTAGCGTTTGAGGTGCAGGCACAGTTCGTTCACAGAATAATAAAATTTGATTCTCACTTTATCAATACTTCAATGAGATATCGTTACTTTTTAATCTTTATTTATATTAATACGTATGTGTATAAACGTATGTATAAATGATCGAATCAGTTGAATGTTTTTCAAACGGCATCAAAACGTATTAACGTCTATTTTAAATGTATAATAATAATAATAATAATAATAATAATAATAATAATAACAATAATAATAATAATAATAATAATAATAATAATAATAATAATAATAATAATAAGCATATCATTGCAATATTTTCCAACTTTATATCTATATAAGTATTTGCCTAGATTGAATTTTTCATCATTTTAATACTTTTTCATTTAAAATTGTATTTATAGTAGAACTGGTAGAAATTTCAGCGTTTAATTTATAATAGCTATAACTAAAGTTTCTTCACTCGATGAGAATTCTATTAGAAATAAGAAATTTTCATAACTCTGTATATGATGACGTTGAAGAAATAAGAAAAAATAGATTAATGAAAATTGTTATGCAAACATTGTATGATCATTAGATAATTTTCATTGCTCTACTAGTATAATTAAAAAATGTGGCTAATATTTCCATTAAAAACATTTAATTTTGAATTGCCTTATTTTTAAAATTAATTCCTTTGCTCAATAATAAATTTCTTTGCTCTATGAAATTTACATAATATTGTTACACATACGAATCAATCGATAAAAAAGAATATTGATCTAAACGAACATCAGTCATTAATTAAATATAAAAATTTGCTTCTAACATACTTTATTATTATGTACAAATTATAGATATTTTTAATAAATTTGAAATATAATATGGCATTAATAATGATAATAAGTATTTTATTTTTCAAGAATTCAATTTGTATGATCAAAATTTTGTGTGCTATATGTGAATTTTGGTTAAAATGTGACAAGATTTTTAAACAATTTTCCAATTCAGTGTAAATACTTGATTATAAATATTTTCGTAATTTCAGAAAAATATAAACATATCGAATTATAACAACGTAATTAAGTTAAAATTTCAGTTTTGATTTTATAGACTCAAGTAAGATACCTTTATTGAGTTATATACCCATAAATTGTCCGTCCGACAAATGTAGAAAAATTTATAAATATTACAATTTCACAAATCAAAGATAACATTCTACAAAATTTTTTAAATTTTTTAAATTTATCCCATATATATATATATATATATATATATATATATATATATTTATAATCAATATTTATAATCAATATCTGCCATTTGATAATGTAATAACATTTGTAACAAATCATTAAAAATCTGTATTATTTCTAATTGTTTATAGCGATGAGTTGACGTAATCTATCGAATCGCGAAGATGCGAATTCTTAATTCTAATAATATTTAATATAATACAAACCTCATAAAGAAACAGTCATTGTATAACATATTTTAGATAAGACGACGGATAAATTGTTTAAAATTATGTTTAGATTCATGGATATATTTGATAATCTTAATATCGCACTTTAACAAGGACTAGAATTAGGCAAGATTATTTAAGTACCATTTTGTAATAAGTAATTACAAATCATTCGCACGTCCTTTTTTATTCGCAAAGTCTCGTGCTCTCGCAATCGCGTTCATTCTTCTCCCTCATAGAATAAATCTTAAGTGTTCATCAACTAAAACGTTTATATGTAGAAAACAGAATATTTATCTTATTTTAAAGTGGTCTTTTCGATTTACTTCATTACTTATATTTTCTCTACGCACTCTTCTCTCCTATATCTGCATTGCTCTTTCTCGTTATTTCATTAATTTTTAGTTATAATAATAATAATAATAATAATAATAATAATAAAGAACTGTGTGTTAAAAAGTGCTTCGATATTTTCATTCGACTACATTGCTTTGGCTCTTCTATAGTATATCATTAATCGATAATTTACAAATTCTCAATTTTGCGTGTGCGATTTTTTAATGTTTTATATGTATGTGAGTTATATAAATGAATGTGTAAAATAAGATCTTCGGAAGCACAAAAAAATGTTAAAGTATGTTTTTCTTTAAGCATCTCGCTCATATACATTGAAATTTATGATTACTATTTTGAAAATATTATTAATAAAACTTTGTGTATTAACATACACCTTAATATTAACTAGAATATGTTTCTAGTTATATATATATATATATATATATATATATATATAAAACTAGAAAATGTAATAACTTTTAAGTCTCTGTTAATAAAATCATGACGTAACATTTTATCTTTCTTATTATCTATGTCATTTGTGTAAGTGTGCGCGCGCGTGTGTGTGTGTGTGTATGCGCGCGCGCTCGCTCGCTCGCGCTTATGCACGCGTGTATGTGTATGAATGTTAAAAACTAAGTAAGTGAATTTTTAACTGCTAAATCTGTAATCTACTATAAACTTTTTATTAAACAATATGAAAAAATTACTATTACGTAATAGAAGTTGTGAATGCTCTAGAATGAATACTCTCGTTAAGAAAATATTTACTCGAATAGTGACGCTAACTCATAAACTATTAATTATTCAATGTATATATATATATATATATATATATATATATATATATATATATATTTATATATATCATTAAAATACATTTAAGCTACAGTATATCGTCTTTCAGTCAAGCGAAATTTTTTCTGATATGACAAGTCGGTCAGTTCTTCAATAATCGCTTTTCAATATGATAATTATTAGTGATATGTGTGTAGTGCAGTCCATATAAGTCATTAAACTTTGGTAGATCCAACGTTAGAAAATTAGTTCTTAATTTTTATAAATTTCTGAACAATGCAACTACGCAATTGTATTCTACATTACTGCAACTTTTGTATGCATTAATACTAAAAGCGGATTCGCAGACTTATGAAAATACAATATCACATAAAAAATAAATAATACTGCATACAGTGGTTAGGTTTTGCATTGTCATCAAATTAATATTATGATATTGAATAAATATCTTATGCTCACCCGATACTTCCATCAATTTTGTTAATTATCCTCGTAATTATTAATTAATCAATGCACATAACCACTTGGTTGTAACTTATAATTGCCGTGGCGTATATTTCAATGTGCAAGCAGTGCGAATCTAAAGACACTTTCCTGTAGATCGCGATTTCCAATAAAACTTCCAATCACCTATGAATAACCGTGAGAGAATGTTTATCGAATAATAGAGCGGAAAGGGGAGCAACGAGTGTTCTTTCGACGTAGCCACGAAAGCAAGGAAGCAAGGAAATAAGTGAGTATATTCGAGTAAGGATTAAATACCACCAATCACCGACCACCAGGAATTCAGTCATCCCAGGTGGGGAAGCTGTCCTGGCTGACGAAGAGGGTTTTTTCGCTCGATTTTTGGGTTGATATACCGCCGAAGCTCGTGCTACCGAAAACCGGCATATCGAAGCTGTCCAGCTGCTGGCCCTCGTAGATGCTGCGATCCGGAGTCGTTATGTACGAAGTCGAGCAAGGCGGCTGCGGCGATTTCGCCTGCATTGATGGTTTCGTTGGCTGCGTCACCGTCAGTTCAATATTACCTGCCCCGCTCGATTCCATGCCGCTATCCTCGTTGCTCTCCTTCAGGCTGCTGTTTTTTATGCCGTAGTAAAAGTACATGAGGAAACCTGCGCACCGGTAATAAAGAAAATTTCCGTAAATTCCTACCTTATTCCAAAGCTCGAATGGCAAATTCATTGACAAATTATCGATAATAATAGTTGCTATCTTACAGCGGAGCATCGACGTATTTAAAAGGACTAAATATACCAAATTAATTTCATTGAAATGTCTAAAGGACAGTTGAATTCCTTATTATTAAGAGATAGTGGTTCGTTGAATTTATCGATACGTTTACGGTAGATTAGTTTCAAAATGGATGTCGAATTTTCAATGCAATATTATCGATGATTGCGAAACAAGGAAAGAGATATGCATATAAATCATAAAATTAGGGCAAATTAATAATTAAATTTTTATTTGCTATTTAACTTACCCAGAGTCATCCATACTGTAAATCTGACTAATGTGAGTATACTAAGCTTGAATATAAGATAAATATTAACAGTGACAGCAATAGCTGGAACAAATGGCAGTCCAGGAGTCATGAACATCATGGGATTCCTATGAAGTCATGGCATAATACATTAGCAATACTATTTTCATACTACATATTAAAAAGAAATTTTGAAAATTTCAATTTTACCTGTTTTGCGGCTTTCTACTAATTGCAAGAAGAATACCAATAATAGCAAAGAGGAAGACGAAGAGTAGAAACGTTGTAAAGCTCCCCATATTACCTATATTTTTGTTCAATTCCAAATTAATTAATTTATCGTAATAAAGCTTAAAGTGTACAAAGACTGCCAAATTCTAGAGAATTTTAATATAAATTTTTTGTTCTCTTATGATTTTTTTTATGCACATTGTATCATGAGAGCGTGAAAGTTAAAATTTTGAAAATAAAATCGTGGTGAAATGCTCAACAACAAACAAACCTCCAAAATCCAAAATTACCATAACAATTATAACTATGAATTAGATTAAATTAAAACTTTAGCAAGCCACGTTACTTTTATAAGTTTTATAAATTTTAAGCCTTGCCTATGAATGTTAAATAGTTACCGCACTTGCGAAATACAATGAAAGTCATGTAGAAAGTGTAGAATTTCCTTCGATTCTACTTTCGTCTGGTTAAGCTTAAACTATCAACTCGTACAAACTTACACAAACTAAAGAATCGCTACATTAATAAACTTTATTAATAATATATTATTCATATTACACACGAATATCTTTCTTCCCGTTAAGCAACAACTATGGCATTAGCATTTATCAAGATTGCGAATAATTCAAAGCTATAAATAATTAACAGAAGAAAAAAACCAGCTTCTTACTTAAAGCTTCGCGGTCCCCTTCATCCTCAAAATCCCCAAAATATCGACAGTCTTGTATAAATCAGTAGATATCTAACTTACCCATTGCGCAAACAATGATCCAGTCGAATATGAGAATGAGAAGGTACATAATCCCGACGAGCTTCATAACGTACCGACCGGACGCTTCGGTTGCTGGTCCTCTATCGACCCATGGAAATATTGCTGGGCACAAATACTGAGCCGCCTGTCAATAAAAAACGTAGAGAGCCGTTTAAGTTTAAAGTCAAATTTTCATTATTTTACTTATTACTTAGTGGCGAATTCATCGAATCCCAATCGTGCGTTATTATCTAATAAGAAAACATTTGTCCAGCGTATTTAACAGATAAGAATAGAAGCTTCGATGTTAATATCACCGACCTGAAGCCTACGCTGGAGATAATTCAGAGGCGGCCCGATGATAGGCGTACTTCCTGGATAATGATGAGCGCTTCCGGTACTCGAGCCCGCAGTCGCCCCATGCACACTGCCATAAAACTTATTTTCTGTTCTATCGCAGACCAGGTACTGATCGTCCTTGCCAAGACCAAGATCGTCCTCCTCTCCGCCGTACGTGTCATCAGACTCCGGCGACGAACTGTTTGCTCTTCGTACCCTTCGAACCTGCAAACCCGCGACATTAGCCCATGACAACGCTCTGCTTGACTTCCGTTTACCGAGGATTTAACAATAATAACGATTTGCGAGTAATAGTTTAATTTGCGAGTTCCAATTGCAACATCGAGTTTTTTTTTTTTTTTTTTTTTTTTTTTTTTTTTTTTTTTATGATATACTACTAATATCCTATTGAGTCTAGTCGACTTAGCGATACAAGCATATTGCATAGAAAAATAAAAACAATGCATCATCCTAACTATTACAATATAATTCCCTAAAATTGTATGTTACGCGATATAATATTCTTTTATTATTTAAGACTTGTTGCGCGTCTATGTATAAAGGATTTCCAAGTATTTTGTGATCGATGTGCATATCGACTGGGATAGCATTCTACCGATTAATGAAATAACGTAAGAAAAATGTAACAGAATTTATAAAAGAATTTTAATAAATCGCTTGGCTAAAGTTCATTTGTCTCACTCTGAATACAATCTATAAAATCACGAGTTTATAAACATTTTTCATTATTTATATATATATATATATATATATATATATATATATATATAAATAATGACTAATGTTTATAAACTCGTGATTTTATAGATTGTATTCAGAGTGAGACAAATGAACTTTAGCCAAGCGATTTATTAAAATTCTTTTATAAATTCTGAAGCCTAACAATGTCGTACCGACAACATTTCCCAATGATTTTAATCAGATTTCAACTAGAAGGATGGCCTATGAGCATTAATGACTCATTTAACATTGCTAAAGTGCCTCGTGGCGAGCAAAGATACCGAGCAAATTCCAAGCACAAGCTCAGAAATTTATTGAATGGCAGCCAGACAAGGTAAATCCTTACCATGATCCGCTGTCCACCGGCAGTCACCCCCAGCTCCGATTGCCCGCCGTGGGTCTGGGAAGTATGAAGGGCCGCCGTTAGCTGCTCGGGGCGCAGCTCTTTGCTGTAGGAGACTTGCCCGTTACCCTGGGGATCCTTCGTCGGCGAGCGGCAGGGTGTGCGCAGACTCTGAGGCAGCAGCTCAACAAGGTTTGTCGTGTGCGGCTGGTATCGCAGAATCAGCACACAGGTCGATACGAGAGTGTAGGCCAACAGCGTTCCTGTGCGTAACGGGTATTACAGGTATTACCCTAATATTGCCATAATTGAGGCGCGGTTATATCTCCCCATTGCAAATATTTCATTCCCACGGCTTTGCATGGCTTTTGCTATGATAATTTGGTTAGACGAGCTCTCGCGTTATTTCCCGACGTTTCGCGAAATTACCGCAGCATACTCTTCCAAGTCTCATTACTCATGTTGCTGCTTCCAAGCTTAACCGAGGAATTTTCATATTATATGAAAAGGCGCGAATTGTCGGATTCGAACTATTCGTATTGTAAAATTCATTTTACCCCCACCCTCTCAAAATTCCTAACAACATTGATTTTAAAATAATTAGTTTTTTTCATCTACTTTAATTTTCGTAATATCATTTTGCAATAAGTAATAAAAACGAAGCGGTAATAATTAAAGTCAATCTATCGCATAGTAAGCAGTTGTGTTGTAAATTTTACACTATCATAATAAATTATAGGCTATTATACTTACAAATGCTTATTATTAAAGCTAATTAATTGCTACGTTTAATGCCCGTACAGAACTAACCAAGCAGATGAGAGAGAAGTAATTCATTGAATTATCAAGAAAATGTAAATTTTGTGATGTAAATGGTTCTATCTAACAAGTGGGAAATATCATTTAAATTAATTATAATTCTACAGTTATATATTAAATATAATCGATCTTTCTTTGCATATCTAAGACATTTTTGAAAAAAAAATTCGTCATTTATACGGCAAGAAATTAATTTTTCTTGTGTAAATAAATTCATTATGTACTATGTAAATAAGATGATTAGTAAATAATTCACATATCATAATCTTATATTTAATTATGTAAAGGAATAATAAAAATCACTTTTTAATTGTGTATAACTTTTATATTTAACTAGCCATAAAATGGATGTTCAAGAACTTATTTTATAACCAACAGAAAAACAATATATAAACTTAAGTAAATGAAAAAAAAAAAAATATATATATATATATATATATATATATATATATATATATATATATATAAGTAAGAAATAAAATAACATTTACTTCTTTTAAATATTTAATGTAATTACGACTAATCTCTTAGATTAAAATACAGCTATATTTCATGTAACAGATAATCCAGATTTATATCAATAAATAAAAAATTGGATTGAAAAATAAATTGAAAACACAATTATCGTAATTTATAATCTGAACAAATGTTTTTCATTTTCTCAAAAATCCATGTCACTTTTTTCTATACCAAATCTCGTTAATTGTCTTAGTTTTTTAAGTACACAATGAATAATTATTACATCGTATAACATAACTTAACCACCTACGTTTAATTATAGAAATTTTATTGTATACATTATTATTTGATTGATTGATTGATTATATTTACTATTAAGATTTAAGTATAGTGGCCGAAAATACACTTTAATGTTAATTATTAAAGCAAATATAAGATTATGCTCGATACGCTAAAGCTTGATACGATATTTTATAAACTGCGGACATTGTGTAATGTATGATACGATAATTTTATTAAATAAACATTTTCAATTTCACTTTATACACGTGTATCAAAAATTTACTATCAAGTAGCATATGTGTTGTAAAAATCTTGATAATGCAAGGGAAGGGGGCAGTAGAATGTGGGGAAAAATACGGAAAATATAGGAAAATGGGCGGCCGCACGCGATTCGTAGATAAAAGTACAATATTCGAGTGCCAAAGCAACAGTGAGAAGAGTGAGAGAAGATAATTTAAGCCTATAGAAAAATTACGGTCGAGGTAATATTTCAGTTTTAGAGATCTTACTGCATCCGTATAAATCTAGTCTCAGTTAAATTGATAAAATTAGGTCTGACAGTTATGAAGGATATAAATCTTTTGGCCATTGGCCTAATTTAATAAAATCCAAGCTCTTTTTCACGAACGATGAAACACGCTTATATACATTCGATTATTAAAAATTTCCCAGCGAATACCGTGAAAATATTTAACGAAGAAACTATCACCGCGCAATATAGCCGATCCTATAGACTCAGTTCATTGCGTTTATATAGACTTTGTGTTAATATCTTCAATTACTATCTCATACTGATAAGTAAAATTTAAAAAGTTTTAAAGCTAATTATCTCATATAAATTAATTTTATTGACTTTTATATTTTTAACACATGTTGGACTATTCTGACATTATTCTGTTACATAAATAAGATAATTAATAATACAGTTGCATACTATTTTTCTCAGAACTTTGTCAATTTAATAATCAGTTAATTTACGCGATAAAATAGAAAATAAAATTAAGGCCAATATTATGTTTTAGAATCGGTATGTCTTCGGTATTTAGAATAAATTTGTTTAAGAAAAATGAAGTTATTCAAGTTCTTAATGTTAGTTTAAAATTTAAGGTACTGTAATCGACTGTAATATAATCAATTTCGATTTTTCACAATGATAATAAAACATTTATCATTCAATTTGGAATACATTATATTATAATATAATATCGTTGTCGATAAACTATATCAGATTTTATGAAATTTTATGAGTTTAATATTGTAATATTGCATGGCAAATTTTCGTATTTATTAATCGTACTAAATATATATTTCGTAAAATTAAAATGACAAATGCTCGTAATTGCGGTAAGGTATACGATAGATATAAGGTATTTTAAAGCCTTATATTTCGTTTTAAAAAATGATTGTACGATAATTAATATTTAAAAGTGGATAATTATTAGATGATCGGGATTTAATAAGACGAGCATAAAGTTTCTGTCGAAATCTTTACCTTGTTAGAATATTTTAATGGATCTCCATTAAGCTTCGTGCATTGTGTTTAAAGTATTTGTGAGGCAAGCTTTCGTAATAATAAACAGGGAATAAGGAAGGATATTTTGAAAGATTAATTTTTTAAACTTTGATTGGAGCCCTATTGCATGTCATCTTGTTACAAAAAAAAATTTTAATAAAAATTTCACATTAATAATGCATGTAGAGACTGCTGATCTCTCACCAATGGACATCATCTCCACGAGTACTTCAAGCTGGATCAAAAGAGCTACGAAAGCCGCACATAGTCCCGACGTAAGCGTAGCCAAAGCTGGAGTACCTGTTAATGGCCATATCTGGCTCAAGGACCTGAAAAGTGTTAAAGAAAAAAAGTTTTTTTTTTTTTTTTTTGTTATTTTCCATATTGTAATACTGGAATAATTCGAGTGCAGGGAGCGGCGAAACTGAATAATCAAAATCGCTCTTCGCAACCGAATGCTTTCCATTATTGCGATTAAAATTAATTCTGCATGATAATTTGCCAACCGATTTTACCTCGTATCGTTTGTTACCAGATCTCATTGTTGTTTCAACGTTATATATATACATATATACATAGTAAGCGGCGGAAAAAGGAAAATAGAGCTTAAGTGTTGTGACACTATTACCGGAAGATTAATCCATCTTGAGCCATTGCGTACACTATTCTCGGCATTGGAAACATACTGCCAAACATAGAGACTGTTAATCCGGCCAGAGCTCCCACAGCAACTATGTACTTGCATTTGTAAGCACCCACTTGACCGAACATTTCCACCAACGCTGAGTCTTGATCAACCTCTTCGTATGGAACTGTAATGCAGCATTTTATTGGTCATAAACGTCCATCAACTTAGTGTTAACGACGCTATTTAAGATATATTCAATAAAGTGCCCTGGTCGACTATTTTATCATTTAACGCATTTAATTATATAAATCTAGATTCTCTTTATTAAGTAATTAATTGTTTGCTAATGATAATTAATTAAATTAATAACTCAATCAAATTATATATATATATATATATATATATATATATATTTCTCTAATATCAAATATAATTCTTACAAATGAATGGATATTTCTTTTCAGGTAGGTTATCCACAGCTTTTTAATTAGAAAATGTGTTACTGTATTTATACGATAAAATTAGTTGATAAATTTGATGCAACATTTAAGGTAAATGTGTGTAAGTTATTTAATAATTTAAATAAACATTTTTTTTCATCTTTGTGTAGTCATAATTATAAAGAAAATAGACTATATACTCTTGCAAATTTATGCATTATTGATAAAAACGGGTCTTATATCTATTTAACTTCCTGTTATACATGATCTGTATTCTATTTACTTAATCTAAAAATATTAAACGTTTAAACAAAAAAAGCTAATCCAGATTAGATTCAATATGTAAAAAAAAAGAAAGAAAAAAAAAATAGAAACTCTAAATCATTATTTCTTTCCATTACCATCTATTAAAATTTAATTAGCAATTATTGCTGTCGTATTTTATAAATTGTGTGCGATTATAAATTTCAACAAATAGCTTGACTCTTTTCTGTTAAGCTCCATGTTTAATATTAGTCTTTATCAGTTTTTCATTTAATATGATTATAACAAAACTTATAATCTCAAAAGCTGTTAAAACTATTAAAGCTATTTTAATGCAATGCAAACGTAAAATAATGCAATTTAATTTATTAAAATAATAATAAATAATTTATCTGTGATTTGTAGAATTTGTTCAAGTCATTATATTAAATTAATGATACATAACAATCATGATATAATAATGAAGAAAAGATAATTAGATCCGATATAAATATTCATTCTATTCAATATATTCAAATATGTTTCTATAAAACAATATTTCCATTCGTCAAATTATCGTCAGATTTACTTTTTAGTAAACGGAACATAAACTGAAAAACTTAAAGATTTCTAGCAATTTTCTTTTATGCAAATATGACATTTAAAGTTCTAAAATATAATTTCACGCCTTAAGCAGTCGATATTTAATGTATTTCTTTCTTATGATTGAATAAATACACTACATTTAATAAAAATAAAGCTTACACTTCAATTAAATCCTTCATCCAAAAATCGTATTTTTTATTGCAAATATAATTGGAAGCGAGTGGCTCATTACTTAATTTGGATCATAATAATTATTTGTTTTCAATGTGAACGTTAAAATATCGATAATTTTTCTAAAACTCTCCTCGGGCTAATTTTCCATATACAGGCCGATAATTTATGAGTACTCTCATATTTCATCGAATATTTTCAACACTATTCTTCGTTATAATATAAAGACTTCATTCATCATGATTACACAAACACGAAAGCACACACGAAAGCACACACGAAAGCACACGAAAGCACACGAACGCACACAAGCACGCACACAACCACCACCACACATTAAATAAAATTTTTGTCCATGTGCAAAAATGTATAAAGACTCGTAAAATATAAAAGTCATTGTAATATAAAAAATATTATTCAATGAAACTAAAAGTTTAAATTGAGAAGTAATTGTGAATATATATTTCATGATGTTCTATCTATATCCAAATGATAAATGTTATCGCGGCAATGCGCATAAAAATTTGACAATACTTTTTATAAATGTCATCGCGTTGCGTTAAAAAGTAATCCAATGACAGTATTGTACCATAATTTTCAGAAATTGTTTATCAAAGAAAAAAAATGTTATTCGCATGTTTAAACCTATAGAGATAATAATTAGTGAAATAGGAATAAACGAATGTAACAGATGGAAAGCGATGATATATAGTTTAACAATATAACACATACAGTTAAAAATATATATTTTTCTTTTTCTTAGAATATACAAAGCAATTTTTAGATAATATATTTCATGTAATAAATTTTAAAAAGCTAAATAATGGGATTTTAAATTATGAAGAACAAAAAACCTTACTTTTCTAGAAATCTTAAAGGTTCAAACGTATTACTAATGCCCAAGATTATTGTCCGTAAAAATATAAACTCACCAATCAGTGTCAAAACCATACTACTGGTGACGTATGCGATAAGAATGATAATCAGCGAAGAGACTATTGCTAAAGGAATACTTCTCTTGGGATTCGTTGCCTCCTCCCCCGTCGTAGCGATTATGTCAAATCCTATGAACGCGTAGAAGCACGTGGCTGCACCGGTAAATACCTGAAACACATACAAGCACAATTATTTCGAGCTACTGCACCCTTGGATATTGGATCCACATCCAATGAGATGTCGTTTTAATCGAAAAAATATTAATTATTGCTCGAACACTTTTTTTCATAAACGGACTCAACGAATCTGCTATTATGTGTAGAGCGTAAATGAATTTCCCTTTGCCATTTCCGTCGCAACAATGATCAATATACATCTCAGAAATTATCCGGTTTTTCTTACCGCTTAACTAAAAACGTGTTTAAGGACAACCGATGCTATGTCTTTCAGGTTGATCTCGACATCTTAAGTATCCCTTATCGAATTAGCGAAATCTCGCCCTGCGTGATTAAATATTCTTCATGCTACAAGCACATTTATATAAGAAATATGTCTCAGGCGAGAAAGTGGGGCTGATGAATATTTCGAGTGTCGCTCAATAAAAGAGTGCTTTCCAAGATAAAGATTGACCTCGCATCTCATCCTCGATTCTCTGCTCCTACTTTCTTTATAATAGCCAGCGGCGGCTCTTTAAGCTGTATAACTCTCGATGTGAGAAAGATGATAAAGTAATAAAGCATCGTCAATTTTCTGAGATCGAGTCTAATTTATTTTTCCATAATATAAAAAAAAAAAAAAAAAAAAAAAAAAGGAAAGGGAAGGAAAGTGTGAATTGAAATGTGTTATATATATGTGTGTGTGTGTGTGTGTGTGTGTGCGCGCGCGCGCGCGTGTCATTTCTACGAAAAAAATTCATCATGTGCTAATGGGTACGCAAAATAATGGTGAGTGTTCAATGCAGCACATTTACAATTTCTTTGAATAGTACTTCATCGTTATTTTTCATCGTTTTATTAAGGTGAGCCACGATTAAACTCGATACCCATTGGGCAAATTATATAAAAGATTAAATATATACGACCAACGCATTTGCATGACACATTTATGAAGTTTGAATCTTTTAAACGTGTGCGCGTAAATAAAATATATTTATATTCATCAATAAATTCTTTTCGATAAGATAAATAAAATTCCTTTTTTTTCATTAATTTTATCAAATATGAAAGAAAAAATTATTATCGATAATTAAATTACAAGAGTATTAATTAAATGCGTGTCACATAAACAACAAAAGCTGAACATATGGAACAATGGATGAATTAAAAATTGATATTTTAAAAGATCAAAAATTATTCTTTAATCATCGGTTATAGATAAGAAAATAAACTAAAATTTATATGCATTGTTCATTCTCTATATGATATTCTCTATATGAAAATAAAAAATATCTTATTATTAATAATCCTATTTTTGAACGAATGCCAAGAAATGAATTACCAAGTTTTTATTTTATTATCTCTTGTTCCATTTTATAGTTTATTTGTTTTTTTCTAACTAACTCATTGTAATTGATAAATTCTCGACATTTCTTTCACAATGTATTTTCCTTCTCCAACTTTTTTGATATTTGGTCAATTTTCAATATTTGCCCGAAATGTGCAGTAGTTCATCCCTATGTTGCAAGAATTTGCGCAACAAGTTTGCCATTATCTCGAATCTTCGCGAATAGCCTAATCATCTTTTTGCCACTACCATTACAGAATAACATGAGAGTTGAAGTGAAAATTCATATACCAAAATGTGAAGCTCATTTTCATTTTATATCTCTGATTTTATAGTAAAGCCAATAACATTATATTTAACCAAATATTAAGCATTGGAATTTTAATTTGAAAAAATATAAATAATCTTCGTTAGGTTTCGTTTAAATTTACATGTTATTTAAAATTTTCGAATTTTCACTGTAATGTTTCAAGATAAAATTCTTAATGTAGCATGTATTCTTATACGATTTTAAATAAATCATTCACGTATATAATAAATAAATATGTACTTGATATTATATGTACTTCAATTAACAAAAAATACATTTTTGTAAAAAATTTAGCGATAGTGTATTCTATGTATTTTTTAATTTAAAATAATTTTGTAATATCGTTAGTATTATCATTATTTTTATTATTTGAAAATATATTAATTAAAATATTTTTTGGACAATATTTAATCTAGTTTAATCTATGAAGATTTATAAGTTTTTATCAACAATTATTTATAGCTAAAGAACGCTTTTATTAGGAAATATTGAAAATATTATAATTTAAAAAGTAGAAAATAGTTAAATAGAATAGTTAAAGTGTAATATAATTATGGAAGGTTATAGAATTATTTAAAAAATAATTGTTTAGTTTTAAGATTAGACAATTCCCTTCGAGATGTATTAGAAAAAGAAAAAGAAAAAAAAAAAATATTGTAAGATTGAAAATTACTCTGTATAACCTCCATAATCCAGTAAAAATTTATATTTATTTTTATACTATGTCGGTATTCTTGTCCCAGATAAGCTTGTCTATATTGTAACGAAGATAATAAAAATATTTATTGAAGAGAAAAAACTAGTATAAGGGCTTGTAAGGATCGATTTTTATAGAATTTACTAGGAGATGCAAAATTTAAATGTATGAATTTCATATTCATACTTATACACATGTATAAGTAAAATTTCTTAATAAATACTCACAAAAGTAAGTATTGTGCTATGAATATTAATAATAAGTTAATATATATATATATATATATATATATATATAGTACAGATATACAATAACAAAAGAAAAGAAAAAAAAATCGGATAAAATTGAAAAACCAAAAACTATTCCTTTAAATTCTTAAATAATCGAAATTACATGAAAATTTTTTCCCTATTTTTCACAATGGAAGTTAACATTCTTTACACTTTCCCCCACAGTTTTATAATTTAAATTTTAATTGAAAGTTCAAATATTAGTATCCAATTTATATAAACGCAATAAGATTAAAAATAAGATTCATTGCTTATTTCTTTCATGTTATTCTCGCCTGTCCATAATATAAATAAACATTATTAAATTTTTATATTATACCTAAAAATTGCATTAAATAGGAAATAGATTTGAAAATTTGGACGAATTATCGAATTTATATTCGAGTTCAGCAGCACGCGAGAAAGATTTATATAAATCATATTCTCAGCGCATTATCTATTACTATTAGAACTCCAACAACATCTGTTCACCCTAATGTTAGGCGATGGAAACAAAAATTATATCCATCCTACGCTATTGTATATTTTCTATACCATAAGAAATATTTTCTATAATTTCGTCGACGTTTTGACCCTTTTAATATACTCTATATATATATATATATATATATAGCAGCTAACGCCTTTATAAAACAACATATTTTATTAGTGTAATAAAGGAGGTTGGACAAGATCAGACACTCGCTCAATCTGTTGTTTATCCAGCCTGAAGTTTGATCAAGGTAGAAAGAGTTTTTTGAAATTCGTAAAATGTAAAAACTCGGTATTATATATAAATCAATGTTTATCTTTTATTTTATAATACGCCGATACGAAGTCATGTAAATGCTGACAGCGCGTGCTTGTAATAAAATAACAATGCAAGAAAAATCTAGTCACGTATATCCGAATAATTATAAAGCAACTGATAAATTAAAAAAACATTTATCATGAAATATTCCATGAATACTCGATTACCCTTCGAGCTTACCCCATTGTCCATTCTCCCATTTACATATTCAGCAATTTATGCCTTCGTCAATAACTGGGCCGTAAAGGCCCTGGCCCCCTCCCCCCCTCCCCGCCCCTCCCCACCCCTCCCCCCAAGTTCTGCCGTTAGATAACCAAGCGCATTATTTAATAAATAAGCGAGTGCTTGGCGCGCGGTGGCTTAAAATAAGAGAGAGTACTTGAACAGAGAAAAAGAATGTACACAGCGAATGAAAATGAAAAGGACATTAAACTTACTCCACTCCAGCCAAAGGGTAGGAAGCCTTTGTGCTCGGTCCAATTTGTTGAATCGACGTAGAACATTCCCGCGGCCATAATAAAGACCCACACGGCGAGGTTGAGCACATTTAATACATTGTTGAACACCAGAGACTTCTTGACTCCCGCCGCCATTAGCAGCATCATTAGTAGCGTGATAACGAACGCAAGGAAGTCGGGCGGCCGACCTGCAAGGTAAAAGTAAAGTATGACTATGAATGAAAATTCATCAGACTGATGGCTAAATGCTTAAGCTAAATGCTTTGTATTACGTCCACCTGGCAATTACTTCCTAACGAAACTGTAAACCACATTAAATTGATAGTTCGATAACAGCATTTATTTATAACGTGTGCCACGAACTTATTATTAATGCAATATTATTTCATCAATCACCTCTCTAACGTTTCTGACGACAAAAATTTCATTGATTCTATCCGAATCGAGTGGTGTATATATTTTATAAGCTTCCACAGCCTGTAAAACATTAATAATGTGTATCTTAATCGATTTATTTTCATTACATTTTTTACAAAATACGTTGATTTGCAATTTTGCATTATTATAGCATTAAAATTACGTTTTCAACGAGTAGAAATGTCTATTCGTTATAAGTTACCAGGTCAGCAATACTCAGTATTTTTATCTTCATTTCTCTTTTTACCATAAATTTCTTCACAACATTAAATGTATTAAGTAATTTAGATAATTATAGACCTAAACAGATGTTTGTTTTTTTTTGTTTTATATAGATGCTATCAATACTTCAATCGTAAATGAGTGAAGAAATCGAAAAATCATACAATTACTTTTAAACTCCATTCAAGAAGAAGGAAAACCCATCTTTAAACGATCCACGCAAATTCCTTGATACGTAAACGTACTCGAGTAAGCTCATTTATATGCGCATGAAACTTACTGGCATGAAAGCGAATGAACGCACACAATCAATGCATACAAACTAACATGCACTTATAATCATACGATATCATGTATGATAAAATAAAAAAAGTACTTTCATTATAAAAATCATTATTTATATTACTAAAATAGTATTTGAGAAACTACATTAGAGGAATATTTGCAGTTTGCTCAGGGCAGGAAAAAAATCTATTTTATGAGTACAAATAAGAAGTACGTTGATATTGCTGATAAACAAAAATACAAATAAGCAAAAATACATAAAATCCATTTGATAATAATGATATCATGATTGATAACTCTTTCTTTATCAATGCATACATCTATACATCTATTTATCTATCTACATATTTACCTTTCTCTCTCTATTTAACATCCCTTTATGTTTTCTTTTGAACGTGCTTTTGAAATAGCCTGAAATATTTACATTCTAAAATAACATTTTAAAGCAAATCTTATGTTTTAAAAATACTGTATTTATTTGAATTCAAAATTAAAAATAATACGCATACATATATATATATATATATATATATATATATTAAAATAGAAAATCGCAAGATATAAGATATAATGTAAACCTATAAAAATAATTATATCTCAACCGTGTTAATATCAAATTTTTATATTAAAACATATTTTGTGTAAAATTTGATTAAGGTATTTATAAATAATGATTTCTCTTCGACAAATATTTTTTACAAATAATTTTTAACAAATTTCTTGAAAAAATAAAATTTGAAAATAAATTGGTTGTATATAGTTAAAACGTAGAGTAAAGATAAACTATCGATATATTAATATTATAAATTTTATATATACGATTTATTTAATATGAGGTCATAAATTTGATTAATTTCATTATCAAAAACTAAAAATTATGCGTTACTTTATTTTAGTGTTTTTACGCTTTTGCTTTCATAATTTATGTCAATATTCAGAAAATTTATTTAACAAAAAGATATCAGCAATAATCTTAAATATATATAATTCGGTAGTTTGATGTTTGTTAAGTCATTAAAAAATTTCATTGAGAAAGATGGACAAATGCATTACACGCGCATACAAATTTAGAAAGAAATCATATAATTAATATAATTGAGGTTGAATCTTTCATTATTTTAGACTCATTTTAAGACATCTTACAGTATTTGTTAATGCTAATCAGTTAATAATAATAATAATAGATTCTTATAAAATCTTAAATTTCAAATTTACACAATCTACTATCAAATTTACTTTTGATTGCCATTAAAAATTAATTTTTGTCTATGACCTGTAAGTGGTGAAGAATTTCATCGAAATTTAATCGAAAACCCCATAATTCTTAATGCTAAGCAACATTTATATTGATTTATAAAATTTGTTTTACATTTTACAGGTAATTTTTAAAAAGTTCTTACATTATTTAATAGAAATTGCCTCTTGGATGAGTTGCTGATAATAGCAAAAATTGTTTTGTTTGCATTTGTAACATATAAGTTGCGGGCTTTTAAATTCATTACTTTTAAATGTAATATGAATTAATTAGGTAATTAAAGAATAATAGAGTAAAGCTCTTAACAAAATGTATATATTTATAATTAGATGAAATTTTGTATTTAAAGTAAAATATTATACGCATCATACTCAATTAGTATTTCTTTTATTAATGGAATTTATAAATAAGTGAATTTATATCTTATAACTGTATTCGATGGTAAAATAAAAAATTGCTTTTAATATATTGCGTGCCACGTTTACTAAGCAATGCATACAATTTACTCATCACGAAAAATTATCTAATAATTTGAAATGATTCATCATCCAATTTAAAATGTAAAATTTTACGCATATAAGATAAATAATGTCAAATATAGAGGGTGAAATAAATATTCCAATAGTAGAGGTAATTGAAAATATAATTATGGTTAAACGAATCTGTATAAATTTATAAATTACCAATAGAAAATTTATTTCAATTTTCTAGTATATAATTTGGAATTTCTAAATGTGAAAGAAATTAATAATGAAATGCACTAATAGTACATTTTCCGATTCTGTATTAAAAATTAAATTGAAGGTAAGAGAGTAAATAACAATAATTCATTTATTCATTCGTAATACATAATTACTTATAGAAGGATTCTTGAAAATTTGAAAACAAATTTCAATTCCATATAATGTCGTTTAATGAAAATCAGATTTTCATTAAACATTTCATTTTATTATTGATAAAAATTATTGATAAAAGACTATTGATAAAAATTATTGATAAAAGACTATTGATAATAATTATTACACGAATTAGCAATGTCGTTGAAAAAAAAAAAATTAAGAAGTTCAAAGCGAATGCCAATTATTTATATAATTGTTTGAGAACATCTATGAATATCAATAAAAATAAAAGCTTCTTTAATGCTGGACTACCGAATAAAAACTATCGATAATAACAACATTTATAAACAAGGTATTAAACTCAAAATTTACTTGAGTAGAATACTAAATTTTCCAATTATCCAACATTAATGGCATTTATTAATGAATATATATATATATATATATATATAAATAATTAGAAAAAATGTTATTTGTATATTTTGCGCAAATTCTAATAATAAAACATCTTTTTATATAATAAAGTAGTAATGTTATAATTTTGCAAAGAGTATTAATTAGTATTATAATAATAAAAAAAAGTGAAAGAAAATTATATATGGTAAAATAATTAATGAAAAAATGAAGCAATGAACTCTTGAATAAAAATAAAAGCCACGTGAGTTGTGCAAATCTGCCCTGAATACTACAACGTGACAAACGAGCTTTTCGATTTATATTCTAATTTAACAAAGTTTCTTCTAACTAAATCAGTTGTAAAAATAGACAATTTTAATTAGAAAATATTTAAAAAAATATTATCGATAAAAGTGAAGCCATTGTTTAAAGACATAAACAATTAATCTTTCAGTTTGCATACAACATTTTCCATGGTATTAATATATTCAATAAAAAAAATTTTCGCATACAGGCCCGTTTAATTCCATCAGAGTACGAATAATTTAAAAGAACTTATTAATTTTCAAAGCCTTAATCGAAGTCCATGCATAATATATTGTTTATTAATAATTTTAACGAACTAACTATACAATTTAATCTATGAGCATTAACAAAAAAAGAATAATAATGTTTGACGGTCTATGGAATATTAATAGCTCGTTTCATAATATTAATCGTAACCATCAGGTAATCGAATTTTTTATCACGAAATAGTTGGAAAAGACTTTTTTGAAATTCTCAAGTTTTCAATTCATGAAAGATTCATTTTAGTATAAAGATCAAAGAAAGTGAACTCGTACAATTTGAAAGAATTTTCCTTACTACATTCTAAATTCTTTATTCCATTCAATACATGTAGCATTATCTATAAGTCTGATAATGTCTGATGAATATATTACAATATCAGCTTTCAACGTCCATTTATTAGAAAAAGAATAAGAATAAAATACTTTATGGATTCAATATTTTAGAAGATCACGCATTTACTTGATTTATTTATGAATTATTTACTGCAAAAAAATAGTTGTATTAAATTTAATGGGAAAAAAAAAATCATTTTTCCAATAAAAATAAAAATAGATGAAATTATAATGTTATTTACTGTTTATTGTTCAAATGCGATAGAAATATTGGATCTAAACATCGAAATTATACGAAATTTGCAGATACACATTTTCAGAATACCAAATCTACATTACTTAATAAGTATATAATTGAGATTAACGGATGATTAAGTTTTTATCGAAAAATCCAGTTCAAAGACTTGAATTAAGAAACTTTGAAAATATACGAATGATAAAAACTTGAAGTCAAATCGAATGTCTTCCATTTTCTTGAAAGGAACCTTATCTTACCAATTCTATGACTAATAGTAAAGCTCACTCTCTAATTACTACATTTAGATACGAAATTTACTTTAATCGCTAGCTTTGGACAAATAATCGCCAAAATCTTATATACATATATATAAAGTCCGAGTATTAATAAACTATTCAACAATATTCAATAAATCGAAATGGTAGTGAATCTTTACTTCGAGACTTTTAATAAGAATAGAAAGAGTAATAGGGGAGCGGGGTGGGGGAGAAGGGGGCGGGCGGGAGTAGAAGGTATTAATAATATTAAAATCTTCAGTTTGAAACCAAAACAGTCGGTAGCATGGAGCATCGAGAAAAAAAAGTTGAGAATAGCACAGAGAGACGCATCAGGTGTGTTGGGCTATGTCACAATA